TAAAAAAGTTACTTTTCTCAAGAACCCGAGAATTTGCGTAAACAGTGGACTCACAAAAAGGCCATATGGCAAGCTTTTGACAATTGATTAATGATGTTTATAAAAGTACTGGTTAAAGAAAGCCCGAGAACAAGATATCATTCGAAATCACAAGATTTTAGAAGTCAACCAGGCGATGAAGCCATATATTGATTGTAAGAATTTTTGCCATAGGATGATGTTCCAAGAAATATGTCGTTCAAATGGAAAGATTTTATTTTTTTACTTTCCCAAGAAACCGAGGATTGGCGTAAACGATAAAAAACCATGTGGCGAGCTTTTGACCATTGATTTATGATAATTGTAAAAAAAAAAACACGAGATAGCCAAAGTGGGTCTGTGATATCATTCGAAATTGCCAGATTTTAGAAGTTAACCAATCCACGGGGGCCATATGTTGTTTGTAAAAAAGGGAATTTTTCATAAACAACGTTGATAATTTTGGAATTCAGAAATACTGAAATAAACAGGGGTGTCAAAGGTTTAATTAATGAAGCACGCTTAGCCACACCCGCACAACCGAGACGCCATTGGTCGGGTGGTATCAATGGTAAAGACGGAGAAATTACTAACGCCCACCGAAAGGATTTGGTATGAGGTACCAATGTGAGGAGGGAGTCTAGGAGGATAGCTATCCTGCAATCTCTCCTCTCGGACGAAGGGATTCCCCCACCCTCAAATGGAAGTAATTAATTTTCTATAATGGGAAGTAATCAGTTTTCCTAGCCGGACAACAAAGAGGTCCCTTGTCAGAAATCGGGAATTACCAAGAACCCCAGGCTGCGTCTAACCCCGTACCGGTTTTGGGTCGATGTCCATATAAACGATCACTCTAGGTTTACGAGGCGGTTGGTAGCAGTTGGAATTCGAGTTCCAGTGAGTTTTAGTAAGTTCGAGTTGCCTCGCCGAAGATGACCGAGATATTCCACGACTTCCTAACTTCGACTTACCATCCTACGAAACAGGAAGTTATAATGACGAACGAAGCTAAGCCAGCACCTAAAAACTAAACCAGTTGACTTAGAAAACCAGAACTTGCCAGAAGTATAAAGTGTCACTATCCAAGAACGGGTTGGGAAAAACACATACTCCTGTATAGAACAGACTGATAAAAGTTGATTTGCTTTCTTTCAACATAACCAAATCTTTTTGGTTTTTTATTTATTTTTTTTGTTTTTTTTACACTTGTGCGACGTCACCTCCAGTTTAGACTCATCTTCCACTACGGCTCCGATGCCGATTTCCTCTACCTAAGATCAAATCACAACGTGGGTAGGTTAGACTTGAAATCGAAGTAGTTACTTCGGTAACCAGTCATTGGAAGTGAGCTGAGAACGACGGAGCTGGTGTCGGACCGGTTGCATCTGGTGTGAAGCCGTTAGAATCGACCAACCATCCTATTTGGTACTATGACCAAAGGATCCCGCCGAGTAGCGACGAACGCCGATCGACTGGGTCACATATTGGTGGCAGCGACTAAGAGTCCAAAACGCTTGGTAGGAGAAGTATAACAGCATCACGCCGGGACTAGAAGTTGACCCCGGGCCGACAGTATTGTGTCACATAATATAGTGACCCCATTTCTCAATAGCAGCCAGTAATCCCATTGATTTTTTTTTACTTTGGCAGGAATAATTTTTGACATGGTAGTTTTAATTGCTTTCCATAGGTCTGCTTTGCTGTTATATTGTTTTCCACCTTCATCTCCCTCCTTCTTCCGATCGAAAATTTATGGACAATTGTGTCCATAAATTTTCGATCGGATTCAAATCAGGACTTGATGGTGACCATTCCATTATCTTCTCTCTTGTAAATCCTTTATACTCAAAGAATTCACGGGTAAGCTTAGATAGATGGGAAGGTGCATTGTCGTGTATTAATACATACTTCACTTTGAAACTGCGGGACCATGAAAAGAAAGGCTTGTTCATAAAATCACAATAATTAGCACTGTTCAGTTAACTGCTTCATGAACTTTGAATGGTCCAATAATAGTTTGGACGACAATTCCAGTCCATATCATAACACTATCACTTCATTGTTGCCTTCTTTGAGTCACAGGCACGTCTGAATTGGATGAAATTCATCCTTTGGCCAATCTATCAAGTCCATCAAATATCCCTCGAGATTCGTAGATGAAAATTACTTTAGAAAAGTCAATTTGCATGTATTTCTTGGCTCAATTTTGATGCTTTAAAATATTTGCTTTAGTCAGAGGAGTTTGCCTAAAAGATTTTTTACAGATCCCAATTCACAAAGTATTCTACATCTTTTGTCCATCTTGACTCCTTCCAGGCTTTTCAAAGATCTGAACACTAGTCAAAACACGCTTTACTTTCATCTCGAAGAAGCAAGTTCTTAAAGCCCTTTTCTTTGCTTCGGGTTCTCAACTTACTTATATTTTCAACAGCCTTCTTTATCATTCGATGATTTGTGCAAAACTCTTTTGATATCTCCAATGTGAGCATTCCCTCATTCAATAACTTTATTATTTTCTGTTTTTCAGAAGCTGTTAGATACTTCCCTTTACCCATGTTTCAACATATATTATGGAAAAAAAGTCTTTATTTGATTTCAGAGGACTTAAGCTAATCTGAATAATAAATCGTAAATTCCAAATATCCCAAAAAGTAACCATTAAAATGACAGAACATTTAATTAAATATGTTACAAAGAGTGGAAATGGACGGTTTTAAATTTGACAAATATTTGTTCAGAACAAAGCTTTGAGGTTTGATTTGCATAATAACTTCACACCAAACACTAATATTCCATGGTTGTAATTTATTACATTGGAATCGTAACCACGATCCAATTCATCAGTTCTTTTTGAGTTTGTAGGTTTGATGAATTGTAGCGTGATTACGATTTCAATGCAATAAATTATAAGCACCATATTTTCCATCCAAAGTTTTAAAATGTTAAATTAGCAATAGTATTTATAAAAAAAATATAATGAATGCTTTGTAAGTAAAAAAAGATTTCTTAATTTTTGATTTATAATACAATTTTTACAATTTCATGCTACTGAGATAATTGTCCAATCGAAGGTTTTGAAGATATTGATAATTTCAGCCTAATCTTATATCAAGAAAAAGTAAAGAACAACATACTGGGGATTGGACTCACTAACTTGTGAACTAAATCAAAATCAAAATCACCCCAATAAATATCATAGACATCTAGAGGTGCTCTAATATGTCACTTTTTGAATAAGAATGTCCAACCTGAATGACTGACGCCAGAACCAAGAATACATCAATTATTTACCTTTCAAATTATTATCATAGTAGAATACACTTGTATTCTTTATGACATTTGCTTCTATTAGTAACATAAACATTTCTGAACTTATTACCAAACACAATTAAACAAATCACAAAATATTTGTGCTAGAAGTTGGTGTTTGAGTTATGAATAACTCTCTACTTAGATAATTAGGGCAACACAATCTTGTTAACCTTTTTGACCTTGTACTGCCAAGCTTAATAAATTAAATTTTTTTCATTGCCTAGTGATTTCAAGGACTTTCTTAAAAATAATTTTAATGCATTATCTTCGTTCATTTATTTCATTCACTTTCTTGTTACAAATTCAATTTATAACACGTTTCATTTTGTGCACTGATACCCACTAAGAATCGATAGTTTCCAGGCCTGAGTAACAAGTAATTAAAAAGGAGTTAATTCCCTTAGCTTAAATGCTATCTGACGTAACTACAGTACAGAATAACTTTTTGTAGAAAGGTTTTATTCAAAATAAAAATCACATTCCTATAATACCGATTTATATTTTCTAATTATAACAAATTTTCAAGTTCTTTATGTAGAGAACCAAATATACCAAAATTGAAACAATGAACATCTATTTACTTTTGTTATTTTAAAATGTCTTCCGTTGGTATTGTCCATTCTGCTTCATAATTGTCTGCCTACACGTGTGTATCTACCTCATAAATATTCAGATTAACAAATTGCCTGAACTATTAATATATTTTGTATTGCACTCTCCCGCTTTACCTTTCAGAATAATGTTGTTGGTACAAATAGAATACAGAATAGTTCCAAAATAAGTCAGTTGCATTCAGTTGTTGTGACTTTTGTAAAGGTTAGTACCAACAGGTATTATCTTTATAAGCATTTCTTACTGATATTCTACAAAATAAAATATTTATTTACATATTTTTTCTTTTTTTACAAGAATTAACTTGAACAATTAAGAAATTTTAGGGGGTATCAAAAGCGTTTTACTTTTTTAGTAGCTTTGACTCCAAAGTCTATTTCACATACATGTTGCGGGGCCGAGTAGGATGTCGCACCCGCAAGGTTTTTATGTAGATAAATGTGAACAGCCAAGACAATGACGGGACAAAGGCAAAGGTTTTGGTTATGAACAAAAGTGTCGAATTTATTAACACATTTACATCGGTGTGGTCCGGTATGACTGGTTGATCGACGAACGTAGCTGGTTCGGTCGAATGTAGTTGATCCGGTCCGGTAGTTTAGGATTGGTAGGCGAACGTAGCTGGTTCGGTCGAATGTAGCTGGTTCAGTCGAATATAGTTGGTCTGGCCCGGTAGTTTAGGGATTGGTGGGCGAAAGTAGTAGCTGGTCTGGTCCGGTAGTTTAGGATTGGTAGGCGAACGTAGCTGGTTCGGTCGAATGTAGCTGGTCTGGTCCGGTAGTTTAGGGGTTGATCTGGCCCGGTAGTTTAGGGTTGGTCGGCGAACGTAGCTGGTTCGGCCGAATAGGCGAAGACGGAGTCCCCAAACAGGGCCAAGGCAGAACAGTGATGCGACTTCACAGGGCGGATCGACCGCGAAAGCGGGATCGCGCCAAAGTGTATCACCAGGCGAAGATGGTGTCCCCAAACAGGGCCAAGGCAGACAGTAATACAACTCCACAGGGCGGATCAACCGCGGAAACGGGATCGCGCCAGAGTGTATCACCAGGCGAGGCAGGTCAGAGAGGTGTTTCCAGGGCGGATCGACCAGGGCGGGAGCAGCTTGGTTTGGGCGACAAAAAGCACCGGAAGTTCACAAAGCTAAGAATATTTGATCCAGGCCTCCGAGTTGTTAGTTGGCGAAAAAAAGCTCCTGGATATTTGCAAAGAGTTCAAGTAGGCTAGAAGACCGTAGATAATAAATTACTGTCTATGGTTGCTGATGTTTGAATGGCTCAGCATAGTCAGATGCGTACTAGGTATGGTTTGGCATCAACGATATTGGACTAGCCGTCCGGTTTCTGGCATGTTGCTTGACCTAGATCTGCGAGATCGGGAGTTGTGAAGGTCAAGGTCGGCTTTCTAAGGAGCGGATAATCGGCGACCGCGACAAGGCCCTTCCCCAGAAAATTGATCGTATCAATTAATAATAATAATATTTACGAAGGTCTTTAGGAAAGTGACCCTCCTACCGGATCGGGTCTGCCGCACAGGAGTCGCTGGGGTGTCGTTTGATGTCTGCGGTGCTGCGTCTGATGGTCTGTTGCGCTGGAATAGCATTAGGGGCCGCAGAGCCGGGTTTGCGTCATACTGTCGCTTCTCCAGAAAAGCAGGCTTGGTCCGATCGATTGCGATGGTGTCGGTCGAGTTGGCGCGCTTGATCGTAAGGTGCTTGTCGGTGCGTCGAAGAACCTGAAAAGGACCTTGGTATGCCGGCGTGAGTGGTCGTCTCACGGCGTCGTTCCGTACGAAAACGAATTTGCAATCTCGCAAGTGTTGAGGGATGTACGAATTCACCGGTTGCTGTCGTGGAGTTGCATATTTAAGCCGGGCCATTTTGTGGCGGAGTTCCTCGACGAAAGGAGATGTTGGTTTTGAAAACGTCTGAAGGAGTCGTCGAAGTATTTGCCGGGTAGCGCAAGAGGTGTACCGAAAACCAGTTCGGCGGGTGAACAACCTAAATCCTCCTTTACGGTGTTCCTCAATGCTAGGAGAATTAAAGGTAGGTCGTCCACCCAATTGATAGTGTCAGGTCTAGTGGCCAGGGAGGTTTTAAGGGACCGATGAAACCTCTCAACTAAGCCGTTGGCGCACGGATGATAAGCGGTAGTCTTTATGTGCTTGGCGCCAAGTAGGTTGGTAAACTCCCGAAAAGGGACGACTGGAACTGTGACCCCCTGTCGGTCGTGATAACGTGGGGCGTGCCGAAAGTTCCAATCCACTCTTTCAGGATGGTCCTAGAGACGGTGTTAGCAGAAGTGTCTTTTATAGGTATGGCGGTCGGCCACCGCGAAAAACGATCCACAACCGTCAAAAGATACTGGTAATCCTGACACATCGGAAGCGGTCCCACTAAGTCGACATGTATGTGTGAGAACCGTGCATCGGGACTGCTGAAGGTGCCGACGGGGATTTAGTGTGTCGGTGGACCTTACACTTCTGGCACTCCATGCACGTGGAAACCCATTCTCGAATGTCCGCATTCATATTGGGCCAAACGAATCGGTCGGTAATAAGTTTGACCGTAGCTCGCTTACTTGGATGAGACAGCCCGTGGAAATGTTGGAATACCTGTCTCCGAAGTGTCGGTGGGATGTAGGGCCTAGGGCTTGCTAGGCTGGTGTCACAGTACAGGGTGTCGTCGCTGAAGGATGCAGGGAACTCCCGAAGCTTTAAAGAAGTATTCGAAAGGACGTCCTGCAGCGTGGGGTCGGATTTTGTTCAGCGGCTATGGAATCTTGACCCAAGACGCCGGTCTGAAGAGATTGAATTTCCGCTCGCGATAATGTGTCTGCGACGGCGTTGTCCTTCCCTTTATGTGACGAATATCGGTCGAGAACTGTGACAGGTAGTCGAGATGCCGGATCTCGCGAGCTGTATACTTGTCAGAGTTGTTACTCATCGCGGTTGTCAACGGTTTATGGTCGGTATAGATGGTAAAATCTCGACCTTCCAGTAAATGCCTGAAATGCCTGACGGCCAGATAAATGGCCAGCAGCTCTCGGGAGAAGGTGCTATATTTTCTCTGGGCTGGCGAAAGCTTGGCTGAAAAGAATGCGATGGGTTCGCGTTGTGAGTTGAACTTTGCTCAACCACCGCGCCCACACCAGCGTCCGGATGCGTCGGTTGTCAGGAAGAGTCGTGTCTCTGGATCGTCGTTGATATGCGAGAGCCTGGTATAATTTGCCAATGCAGCCTTTGCTGTATGGAATGCGTGCAGAGCATCTCCTCCAAAGAGATGTCCTTATTCCTTCTCTGCAACAGGTTCGTCAGTGGCTGGAGGATGGTAGCGCAATTTGGTATGAACCGACGATAAAATTGAGCATGCCGAGGAAACGTCGCAATTGCTTCATGGACGTCGGTGTGGGAAAATCCCGGATCGAGCTGATCTTGTCTGGCAGAGGTGCTATGCCGTCTGCGTCGGTGCGGTGCCCGAGAAAGTCAACGCTGGGCGCCCCGAAAACGCACTTGTCCAGGTTCAACTTCAGGCCGTAGTGCGAGAGTCGCTTGAAGACTTCTCGCAGGTGTTGTCTGTGAGAATCGGCGTCTGTACTGGCCACCAAGATGTCGTCGATATAGGCGTATACATGCGGAAGTCCGCGCAGGACTTCGTCTAAGAGCCGTTGGAAGGTCTGGGCAGCGTTACGTAGACCGAACGGCATTTTTAGAAATTCGTATAGGCCAAACGGTGTTGTGACTGCCGTTTTAGGGACGTCTTTCGCAGCGACGGGGATCTGATGGTATGCCTTTGTCAGGTCGATTTTTGAGAAGATGCGAGCCCCCATCAATCCGGATGCAAAATCATGGATATGAGGGACAGGATATCGGTCTGGTACGGTCGATGCATTTAATTTCCGGTAGTCAACGCATATCCGAAATTCTTCACCACCAGGTTTAGGCACTAAGTGTAGTGGCGAGGCATAAGGGCTATCGGAAGGACGAATGATGCCATCACTGAGCATTTTGTCGAATTGCTCCTTGGCGTACGCCAGTTTGTGCGGAGCGAGTCGTCGCGGATGGGAGTGTGCGGGAGGACCTCGGGTTCTGATGTGGTGCTGAGTCTGATGGTCACCTGAAGCCGTTACTTGGAGTGGCAGCGTTATATCCGTGAACTGCGTCAGGAGATCTAAGTACTCGCGACCATGGCATGTTGCGACGCTGATTCCTGTGGAGCCTTGACGTGTAGGGGTACCTAAGACACGGAGATTCGTCGTCGTATCGGACAGAGTCCTAGGGTTCATATGGACCGCCAGTGCGTAATGCGCCAGGAAATCCGCGCCGAGGATGGGTACCTTCACGTTGGCCACGGTAAATGTCCAAGTGAAATCGCGTCGCATGCCGATATTCAGAGTAAGGGTCCTTTCTCCGTATGTGTCTATCGCGGAACCATTCGCTGCTCGTAGTTTGATCAGGGTGGGCTTAGCGGTGTGGTCGTTCTGAAGGGGTACCACGCTGATGGCCGCACCTGTGTCCACCAGGAATTTCAACTTGTTCCGTCGATCCCAAACGTAAAATAGACGACATTGCGTGTTGGCACCGGAAGAGTTAGTCGTCGCGACTCTCCGGTTTATTCGTTTCCCCGGGCCGACGGGTGTGTACAGGGAGGTTTACAATTCCTGGCCTCATCGCCGAATGTGCGATGAAACCAACAAACACCCTGGTCGCTTCGCCGTTCTCGGCTGGGGTTCGTCTCCGTCGAGATGGGGTCGATGTCCTCGTCCGCGGGCGCAGGGAGATCTGGAGCTCCCGAATTTGCCGTTGAAGGTCGGCCAACGCCCGTTCCGTTTTACTAGGCTCGTAGCGTTCGTGCTTCGCTATGTCGGGGGCGCGAACAGCGTTAACGCTGTGGTCGAACTGTGCAAAAACAAGATCAGCAGATTCCGCCAAATCGTCCAGAGGCGTGGCTCTCGTCATTGGTGCGATGATTTGAGCGACAGATTTAGGCAAATGCTCCAGCCATAAACCTCGAAGAACCTTTTCTGATACGTTGTGCTTTCCCAGCTGGTTCCTCATATATCTGAGAAGCTGGGATGGCGTTTTGTCGCCTCTAGTGACGTTCCGCAGTATCTCCTGAATCATATCTTCCTCGGAACGTCCGGTTCGCTTGAGGATTGCTTCCTTTAAGTGATCGTACGGTTCATGCTGGCGCAAATCGGAGAGGACGTCAGAAATTTCGTCCATCATATCGGATGGGAGTTTCTGCATTACATTCGCGAATCTGGCTCGCTGTGAAGTAATGCGTAGCATTGAAAAGATGGATTCCACCTGCAAGAACCAATTCTTGGCATTATGGTGGTATGCAGGCAGAGGTATGATCGCAGCCGTCATGTCCAAAGAATCACTTTTAGCCGACTCCATCATCGCTTAGCTAACCATCACGTCGGGGTCACCACTTGTTGCGGGGCCGAGTAGGATGTCGCTCCCGCAAGGTTTTTATGTAGATAAATGTGAACAGCCAAGACAATGACGGGACAAAGGCAAAGGTTTTGGTTATGAACAAAAGTGTCGAATTTATTCACACGTTTACATCGGTGTGGTCCGGTAAACTGGTTGATCGACGAACGTAGCTGGTTCGGTCGAATGTAGTTGATCCGGTCCGGTTGGTCTTTAGGTTTTGGCGAACGTAATGCTAACGTTGGTTCGGTCGGCGAACGTAGCTGGTCTGGTCCGGTAGTTTAGGATTGGTAGGCGAACGTAGCTGGTTCGGTCGAATGTAGCTGGTCTGGTCCGGTAGTTTAGGGTTGATCTGGCCCGGTAGTTTAGGGTTGGTCGGCGAACGTAGCTGGTTCGGCCGAATAGCGAAGACGGAGTCCCTAAACAGGGCCAAGGCAGAACAGTGATGCGACTTCACAGGGCGGATCGACCGCGAAAGCGGGATCGCGCCAAAGTGTATCACCAGGCGAAGATGGAGTCCCTAAACAGGGCCAAAGCAGAACAGTGATGCTACTTCACAGGGCGGATCGACCGCGGGAACGGGATCGCGCCAAAGTGTATCACCAGGCGAAGACGGAGTCCCTAAACAGGGCCAAGGCAGCACAGTAATACAACTCCACAGGGCGGATCAACCGCGGAAACGGGATCGCGCCAGAGTGTATCACCAGGCGAGGTAGGTCAGAGAGGTGTTACACCTTCCAGGGCGGATCGACCGTGGAGACGGGATCGCGCCGAAGAGTAACACTCTCGACAAAAGCACCGGAAGTTCACAAAGGTAGCGTACTACACTTTGATCCAGGCCGAGATTTATTTTGTAAAAAATACAAAATTGTGGCACAAGGCCAAAAAACGGGGAGGGGTAAGGCTGGTCTTCACTAACTATCTTATACCTAGCTAATTTGATTCACGACCCATTCAGACATTACAATTTGCTCATTCACCATAAGAACTCGTCCATCATCAGTCAATCCTCCTTGCACCATAATACCACATCCACTCTAGGGAGACTTACAAAACGCGCCCCATGTCATAATGATCCTAACACATATGTACAAAAATTCTAAGATGAAAAAATGAAATGGGGGTGGGATGTGAACCCAATAACAAACTAAAATATTCACATAAATGAAAATAAAACGTTAACTGATGTTAGTAGGGCCCTTCCAACCCTCAAAATGCTGTATTCTGCCCACTGGAACAAAATCAAGCAGCTCTCTCGCTAAGGGAGTGGGAAAGGTGATAAAAAATCATACGGGCATGGGGAAGTATAAAGCTGACCCAGTCGAGATAGAAAGTGGGGGATCAAAAAACAAACTGGGGAGGTTGGGAATCTCAGGCTGGATCATAACTAAAGATGTGGCCGGGGGCAGGCCGGGAACAACACTTACTCGCATTAACTAGGTACACCAAGGCTTGTCTAACCTAACCAAGGGGAGGGCACCACAGGAAGCCACCCCGATGTAACGTAGGCTTGACCTAAAACAGAAAATCAAGGCTAGCCCCGTTCACACGAACCAAGCTCGCCTCAGTCACCCACCTTTCGCTGAAGACTGTCGAATGCAAGCGTTTTCTATCAGTTCTGATCTTCATCTTGAGCTGATGCTCAAAGAATCGATTCAGATCCTGATGAGAAAGACGGATACCTCGCAAGACTTCCTCCTCTCGCGTCGTCCATATCACCATTCGGGCCGTGGCTAGCAGCATGAGAAACACCATCCGTTTCACCCCGGAATACGGGGGCGACACATTGTCACGCGTATGCGCGATCCATGGGCACAAGCTTTTCGGGAGCGAGACGAGCCGTCAGCTCGCCGACATGGTCCCATAAGAGGCGGACACGGGGGCAATGGAAGAAGGCGTGCGAAGCCGTTTCCTCTAGACCAAGGCCGCACCGTTCACAGTCTGGCAAATCCGCCAAACCCCCATATGAAGGCCATGTCGTTGAGAGGCAGCCGATTCCGAGCCAGTCGCCAGGTAAGCGAAAACTCAGGGTTACTGAGGTAATCCGCCGCTGGCGCCCAAGACCAGTGAGAGCGAAACTCATCCTCCGACATGTCGAGATCCTTACGTAGGGGATCCTTCGCGACCCCCTCCACTAGCAAAACGATAGAAGACCTTCCTAGGCCGAGAAAGGTCACTGGACCAAGGGACAGCCAACAAGGCCGACCGACACTCGCGAAAGAAATCCGATTGAACCCGGGGTTTACGACGGCGATCCACCCGCCAGATTGGGGGACTGATGGTAAGGCGAGGGAAGGCGGCCCTCACAATCCCCTCAATAATCGGATCTCTACCTGTCAAAGCGCGGCGTAGGAAAGCCAACCTCGAGGCACGTTTGTGGCTCAGCAAGTGTGGCATTCCCAGCCCCCATGACACGGACGTTGTGCACAGACTTCTCTGTCGACCTGATTCGCGCGTCTCCTCCACAGAATGGAGGTTAGCGCGCGCTCGAGCGGTATCCTGTGGTCGTCACAGAGAGGAAGTACGGACAATCGATAAAGGACAAGAGGGAAAATGTATGTAGCACACACCTCCGCCCTGCCCTTCACGGACAACCTCCGTCGACGCCAAGTCTGACCGGCGGCGTAGACCTTTGCTCGTACTTCAGACCAATTCTTCTCCAGCTGGAGGTCGGGTCCAAACCACACTCCGAGAATGCGGACAGGACCGTCCGTCCAACCGAAGGGCCCCGGAAGATCGACCCCTTCCAGGCGCCTAACCGCAAGCCGGACGACTTGTCGCGGTTAATCTTGGCCCCTGTCACCTTTTCGTACCGATCAAGCGCCTTCTGTACTGCCCTGATGCCTCTGCGGGACGACACGAAAGCAGTTACGTCATCGGCGTACGCGGAAACCCTGGCTCGAGCCCCGCCAGGAACGGCGATTCCGCATAGGGCCGGCCTGCTCGCCCGTCTCTCAGCCGGCGAAGGAGAGGCCCAACGCCAAAGCGTAAAGTAGGGGCGACAGCGGGCAACCCTGACGAACCGACCTAGACAGCGCAAAAGCGCCCGACAGCTTTCCGTTCACCTGTACCACAGCACTGGGGGAGCGATACAGGAGGCTAATCCAGCGGCAGAAGTCGGGTGCGAATCCGGCGGCCTGCAGGACAGCAGCAAGGTAGCGATGGTCAACCCTATCAAATGCCTTGGACTGATCCAAATTGATCAGCGCGGCACACTCGTCGTCTTTTACACCCTCTATGATCGTGCGGATCAAATGCAGGTTGCTCTGAATTGTTCGACCCCTCACAGAACAGGTCTGCTCGGGACCCAACAGAGACTCGGCAACTGACTGCAAGCGCTCCTGCAGGATCCTGGCCATAATCTTTAACTCTGTGTTTAGCAGAGTTATGGGCCTATAGTCGTCTAGTTTCCCCCCGACACCCTTGCCCTTTTTCAACAGTGTGATCACACCCCTGGAGAACCGGTCGGGGAGAGACCCTGCCGGAACCAGTTGTTGAAGACGACCGTCAAAATCAGGACAAAGATGTGCGACAGCCTCAAGTACACTTCATAGGGCAGACCATCCAGACCGGGCGACTTGCCTCTGCCGACCTTCTTCAAAGCCGCGTAGACCTCGCCCTCGGTAACCTCTCCCTCGCAGCTAGCCGCTTCAGTCGGCGAAAGCCGAGGAAAGTCAGCCAAATAGCTGCGAAACTCGTCCTCACGAAGACCAGGCTCCCTGGTAAAACGGCTCTCGAAATGCCGCCGAAACGCCTCGCACATGTCGTCAGTGGCCCGAAGGGTGCGCCCTTCCGGGGTTTTGACTTCACGAATATAACGATCGCCACCTCGACGGACCTCTTCCCCTGCGCAGCGCTGCGCCCATATTCACGGCTTCGGAAGACATCTTGCTTAACCTATGCCTAATTACCTGGCCCATGTAGCGTTCGCTATTCAAACGCTGCAGAGCCTCCTTAGCTACGGCTATCTCTAGGGGATCCCCCAGCCACCGCCCGGGCATGACTAGCTTTAAGCGTCCTCACCTTATCAGCTCTATCTAGGGCGAGCCGTTTGCTGAAATCAGTGGTGAAGGACCTAATTCTACATTTAAGTCTGTCCCACCACCTATTCCCGATAACCGCCCCCACTAGCTCCCGCTGCACTAAGTTAGTCAGCTGCTCCCGGAAGTCCTGCCTGTCCAGTAAGGACAGATTGAACTTCCAGTAGCCAGCCATTCTAGGCCTATGTTCTAACGCCACACGGGCACAAACGAGTTTGTGGTCCGTATAGCCTACCCAGTGGAACGTGGGACAATCTAACAGATCTATGTCGGCCCTTCTCACTAACATTCTGTCAAGGCCGAGCAGCTTGGTTTGGGCGACAAAAGTGGCTAAGAATATTTGGAAAGAGTTGTTCAAGTGCTCCCTGGCTAGAGGGAGTAGAAGACCGTAGATAATTAATTACTGTCTATGGTTGCTGATGTTTGGAATGGCTCTGCATAGTCAGATGCACACTAGGTATGGTTTGGCATCAACGATATTGGACTAGCCGTCCGGTTTCTCGCATGTTGCTTGACCTAGATCTGCGAGATCGGGAGTTGTGAAGGTCAAGGTCGGTTTTCTAAGGAGAGGATAATCGGCGACCGCGACATACACATCTATAGACTACGATTCCACTATATTAATAATATCATTATATATCAGATATCATTATGAATAATATTCAATTGTAGCTTTAGTTTTAGATGTTATAATGGAAAATACAGGTATTGAGGTTCTGGCAATTTGAGGTTTTATTTTAAACTGAACTTCAAAGCCACTGAAACAACTTGTAGAATCTGAAAAGTAGAGATAAATTGTGATGATGATCATGACACACATACATACATACTTGCACAAATTCAAATTATACAACAAAAAGCATTCATTGTATAATAAATCAACACTACTGCGTAATGGAAATTTATAAATCGCAGCTATGCGACAATTTTATAATCGCTATATTTTCATGTAGTCGATTTCGTGCACTTTTAGCAGAATCGGATCCCAGAAGCTTTCGTGAATCTCCCCAAAGTTCGCTCGCTGATTGGTCAATGCTAACCAATCATATTGTCTGCACGTGAAGAATGATTCTTCCCGCGCAGCGCTTCGGAGCCGATGGTCACCTATATAAGCAAGAAATATTCTTAGATATTTAATGAGATTTCAGCTGCCAAACGAATCCACGACAGTTGAAACCATGCACCAATCTTCTCACTCACACCACCACTCACATGCTGAATATTCCCTACACTCACATAATCTTTTTCCTTACACAGCAAAACTGTTGAAAACATTTATTACCAGAAACTATCACAACCTTCTTTCTTTCAGTGAACTTTGGAACACAATTAATAGTTAAAGTGAGACAACTCTTGTTTTACTCAATGCATGCCTTTCTTTCACATCCTTGTTTGTACATCGTTAAATACAAATTTTATGTGTAATAATCTCTTTGGTTTATCCTTTTTTCTTCATGTCATTTTGTTTTCCTAATCTAAGTTAAGTTAATGTGGTGAAGTCCGCCACACTTCATTGGTGACCGCCGACGAGATTAGGAAAGGCTGCCGTGATCCGATAGGGCCGCATTTCATTGGTATTTAGTTGACTTGTATTTGTCCTGCAAAAGAAGGCACCAAAACTTCACTGTTACCCCATTCGCCAGTGAACCTAGTAAGAGAATCGTGAGAAACATCTGGGAATCAGCATATCTACTTGGCGCGCAAAATCTTTTCGTCACCACGTGCGAATATTCACGCGACTCAACATGGCAGTCCCATACAGTGACGGAACTGCCGTCCTGGTCAATCTTCCCGTCTTCAACACGATAAACGTTCATGTTTGGTTCTCGCAACTGAGCGCAATATTTCAAGAGAATCCAGTCACAGAACGCCCGTTTCGGTTATGTAGTCGAGAAACTACCTCCCGACATCGCATCAGTAGTTTCCGATTTCTTAGATAACGTCCCATCAGAGAACACATTTGACGTTCTGAAAGAAGCCATTATATACAAGACCGAAATTCAGAGGAACGGCGAATTAACACGCTTCGACTCGACCAGAACAAACCAACACTTCTTCGGAAGATGAAAAACCTTCTGGGTAAGAACACCATGTCAGAGGCCTTGCTACGGAAACTGGCTGGACAAGCTGCCGACCCACACCGCGCAGATTTTGGCAACACTCCCTGAGGACTTGGACCTACTACGAGTGGCTGCAATAGCCGATAAAATTGTGGAGATAAGGGCTCTTAACAGCACTCATATTTCCTCGGCGGACAGCACACCACGTAAATATATATTAAAGAAAATGCAGCAGCAGATCGACAAATTGTCCATGCAACTGGAGCGACTGAGTGCGTTCGCGTCCAGCATACAATGCATACAAGTCTCGACACCATAGCAGATCTAACTCGAACGCTAGGAGTAAACCAAACACTGGAATTTGCTGGTGCCACCAAAAGTTTGGACAAGCAGCGAGACACTGTGCAAAGCCTTGCCATTTCAATGGTCAAAAACATCTACTACTAAAAAAAACAAGCAGGGAAAGGCGACCCCAACAGCGTATGAAGATGACGTCTGCTGTTGGGGGAAATCGAGTTAACCGTCTTTTTTTTTGTTAAGGATACTAACTCAGGCGATTTATTTTTTGGTGGACACTGGAGCCCAGGTCAGTGTAGTCCCACCCAGAGCTAACACCACCAATAGGCGAATCAGCATATACCCTGCGACAAACGCAATAATTAAATATAAGAAATAAAATGTATTTACACAATCATATAAAGAGTAATACTGTTAGTAAGTCCAGGAACGCGGTTAGTAGCAAATACAGATGGATATATACAGTCTCGAAGTAGGACTTCCTTAGAGTCTACGTGCTTGTAACTGACTTCTACAAGAGTTTACCTCACACTATCTCCGTTCGTATATTCTCTCTCTCTCCGTATATCCTCTCTCTCTCTCTGACTGTCTCACTCTGGGTATTTAACGGCAGCACTCTAAGTAACACTGGTAGAGTCCACTTATATGAAAAGGGGAGGACCCCATAACACCCCCCTCCTTAGATCCCTTTTTGGGGGGAGTTAGTATTTTTGTCTCTTATGGTTGATCTAGATGCGTGTGCAACGGGTTTGTTTGTATCGTTCCGCATCTTGTGTAAAATACACGCACCTACCCCATGTGAGCTCGCGTCACTTGCAATAATGATTTCGAGTTCGGGATCGAAATGTGTCAAGTTAACTCTGAAGTTAATTTTTGTATTATTTCCTTGAATGCTTTTTTACAGTCCTCTGTCCAATTCCAATTATTCTCCTTTTTTAGTAACCTATTTAGTGGAGCCCTCAGTTTATGCATATTATCAATAAATTCGCCATAGAAGTTAGCTAGGCCCAGGAAACTTTGCAGTTCTGCAACATTTTTTGGTTCCGGCATATTTTGAATTGCCGATGCCTTCTCTGGGTCCGGTTTCCTGCCATTTTCATTTATTATCTGACCTAAATATTTAATTTCATTTAGGAAAAATCACACTTTTCTCCTTGTACTTTGAAGCCGAAGTCCTGAAGTCTTCTAAAAACTTCTTTTATGTCTGATGTGTGCTCTTCAACATTGTCGCTCTTAATTAGAATATCATCCAGATAAGCGGTCGCGAAATTCTGGCCCGTGAGCATTGTGTCCATCGTTTGCTGAAAAATTGCAGGTGCTACTTTTATTCCGAATGGTAGTCTGTTGAATTTGTACAACCCTTTGTGCGTATTAATGCAAAGGATTTTCGTACTCTCTTCTTGTACTGGGATTTGTAGATAAGCCTCACTAAGATCTATTTTTGAAAATATCTTACCGCCGTTGAGCTTTGTAAATATCTCCTCTGGGCTCGGTAGTGGGTAATGGTGGTCTTTTATTGCCTTGTTGAGTCCCGTCGAAAAATCTGCGCATACGCGAATTTCTCCTGACTTCTTTTTTACATAAACCACCGGCGCTGCTCACTCACTAAACTCTGTTTTTGATAGAATCCCAGTTTGTTCAAGTCTCTCCAATTCTTTGTCTATTTTTTCTATAGTAGCGAACGGTACATTTCGCTTCTTTTTAAAAATTGGTTGGACGTTTACTTTTAATTCTATTTTGGCCTTAAATTTGTTGCATCGTCCCAACCCGCTTGAAAATACCTCAGGAAATTGATTATATAATTCCTCCTTCAATTTTATAGTATCTGATGGTTCTACCTCTAACTTTTTGCAAAACGAGTTGATAGGTAGGTCCCAAACGTTGAACTTCTGCATCCAGTCGATAGCTACTAAATTTTCAGTATCTTTCATGACGTATATCTTAAATTTTTTTGTTTTGGCGTGAAATTTAACATTCACGATTGTTTCTCTCTCAAATTTTATTCGTTTGCCTGTAACCGACTTGGCAATTTTGTGTGTGTGTAACATGGTAGGTCTGTTGAGTTTTTTCCATGTCTGTAAGTTGATTATCGTGAGGTCGGAACCCGAATCCAGTTGTAATTTAATTTTTATTTAAAATTTCCAGTTCCACATATTTCCTTACATTGGTGTTGTCATCGTTATTCATCCTTATAGCTCTTATTCTATTAGTATCTTTTCTATTTCTACATTGGGATGTCTTGTGGTCCTTTTTTCCAGATTCAAGACAGTTTTTATATCTGAAGCGGCAATCCTTGTTCCAATGTAATCCTCCACATCGATAACATGCTGATGGAGGGGGCTTACATTTGTTTCGATATTCGTCATAATTTGTCCTGTATGTTGTACTTTTCCTCTTATCATAAAATTTTCTTTTTCTTTCCGAGGAGGGTGAGAATCTTTTTTCATTGTCGTAAAATTTTAGTTTTCTTTCCGGGGAGGGTGAAGAACGAAGACTTTTGTTTAACTTACGTATATGAGAAACAGCTGATTCTTCAATGTCTTTTGCCTCTTTCTTTATGCTTAAACATCTCTGGCGATCTTCCGATAATTGCTGTAATGTTAGACCCGGTTCATTTTGTAATTTTGCAAGCATTCTTCTACGCATTTCGCTATCTTTTGTAGAAACTAGCCCTTGAACAAAGATGAGACATTGAAATTGTCCGGGGTTAATTCCGCTAGTCTGAAGTCGTCACAATGTTTATTTACGATTGCGGCAAACGTGGAATAATCCTAATTATCGCCCTTTACCAGGTTAAGGCATTTCCACCTCCTGTGGAAGAGTGATGTTTTGGGCCTGAAGAGTTCTTTAAGACATGTCACTGCTTCGTCAAATGTTAATTCGTTCGTCTTTTTTGGCAAGATATAATCCACGAACTTTGTATATTCTTCAGTTCCTAATTTTCTAAGCAATAGACGTAGCTTTTTTGCTTCTGTCCAATTTTGACAGTCTATGTTAAAGATGTCTTCTGAAGTAATCTCCAAAATTTTTGTCCTCATCTAGAGAATATTTGAAAATCTCTATGGTATTCCACACTGCGTCTTGCGAAAATGTTGCTTCTTTTTCAATATCTAATTGCTTGTTGCCCGCTACTTTCAATATTAGTTCCTGGAGCTCTGTTTGTCTATCTTGATTTTCCTTTTGCGTTTGTAATATTTGCTTTTGCCATTTTTCTTGTAGCTGTAACTGTTGATCATTTTGGTATTTTTGCATTTGTAATTGTTGCTCATTTTGGTGTTTTATCAGTTCTACCAACATATTTTTAAAATCTTCCATGATAACTCAATTTTATGCATTTTTACTCCTCGTGATTGTTGCTAATTTGTTGTTGGACGATGAGGGAAGGATTTTTCTATTTCTTTTTTTCGAATCACTCGAAGCCAATTTGCTGGTTGGACGACGAGGGAAGATTTTTCTTTTGTTGATTTTTTCTTTTCCGCTTAGGTTCTCTTCGTCCAAATTTGTTTATTGGACGACGAAGGAATATTTTCTTTTGTTGATTTTTTGTTTTCCGCGTGTGTTCGAATCTTCGTCGCCAAGTTGTTGTGGATTCCGAGATGAATTCAGTCTCCAAGGAATGACAAACGCAATAATTAAATATAAGAAATAAAATGTATTTACACAATCATATAAAGAGTAATACTATTAGTAAGTCCAGGAACGCGGTTAGTAGCAAATACAGATGGATATATACAGTCTCGAAGTAGGACTTCCTTAGAGTCTACGTGCTTGTAACTGACTTCTACAAGAGGTTACCTCACACTATCTCCTCCGTTCGTATATTCTTTCTCTCTCCGTATCCTCTCTCTCTGACTGTCTCACTGGTCTTTAACGGCAGCACTGGTAGAGTCCACTTTAAAAAGGGAGACCCCATCCACCACGGGCCAACGGCTGGTAGAGTCCACGCGCTTATTATCAGCAATACCAAACAACCATTGAATTTTGAGACACTGGCCGACGACACTCTGGAATGGATTTCAATTTTCGGCTGCCCTTCGGTTATAACGACAGACCGTGGCCCACAGTTCCAGTCAACTTTATTCAAGGAGTTCGTGAACTTGCTTGGAGCTACTCACATCCCAACAACTGCATATCATCCTTGTGCAAATGGCCTTGTTGAGAGGTTCCACCGTCAACTTAAGGTTGCATTAACAAGTTCCGACACTGCCCCAACTTGGTTGTAGAAATTACCATTAGTTATGCTTTCATTACGAACCATAATGAAGGAAGATCTTCAGTGTACTCCTGCAGATCTTGTTTTTGGTACATCGCTTACGTTACCAGGTCAATTTCTAGACAGAAACACTTCTATAGAACCAACTTCTACCTTTATACAGTACCTTCAAAACAGAATGACTGAACTATCATTCACTCCTACTCGAGTACACCCTCAGGAGATTTATTTTCCCAAATCTTTACAAGACTGCGACTTCGTCTTCGTTAGACAAGACACAGTAAAAAAAAATAAAAAAAAAAACGCTAACCCCTAATTACTCAGGACCTTTTAAAATATTTTCACGACAGCCAAAGTATTTTACCATTCAGATATACAACGGCCAGTCGACCATTTCTGTCGACCATTTGAAGCCGGTATATCTTGAGCAAGTCGCCAAACAACTCCGTCCGGATCGACGGCAACCCAAAATTCCGCAGCAACCAGCATCATCATCGTCAAGCCAAAGTGACATATTAAAGAATTTTGTTATAATTTCTTTAATCTCGGGTGGGTATTGTGATGATGATCATCATAATACCCACCCGAGATTAAAGAAATCATGCATACATACATACACAAATTCAAATTATACAACAACAAGCATTCATTGGATAATAAATCAACACTACTGTGTAATGGAAAATCTTTAAATCGCCGCTATGCGACAATTTTATAATCGCTATATTTTCATGTATTCATTTTTGTGCACTTTGGGGAGAATCGGATTCCAGAAGCTTTTGTGAGTTTCCCCAAAGCTCGCTCGCTGATTGGTTAATGTCAACCAATCACGTGAAGAATGATTCTTCCCGCGCAGCGCTTCGAAGCCGATGATATAAACAAGAAATATTCTTCGATATTCAGATTGAGATTTCAGCTGCTCGCTCTGACTTTTTCTTGACTGGCGATTTACCACGATACTGTTTTCTGACACTCTACGTTTCTCTTGGAGCTGTAATTTACATTTTGGTTAAGTTTGATTTATTTTTTACAGTCTTTTTCTTGCGTTCTTACGACTGTTTTTGCAAAGTTTTGTGATTTTTTTCTTTTTCAGTTTTTTTTACCCTCCTCATTTTTTCCCTTTATTTTGCACTTATTCTTTTAATATTATATATTCTTTTTGATCTTCTTTAACTTTATATTCCTTTTTTAATTTTATTTTTCCGTTTTTTCAATTTTGTAACCCCTGCAAGACTTTCTGTTTATTTTTCTACTCTTTATTCTTTCTTTCGACTGACTTTATTTTTCTCTTTTATTGCCTGTTTTTATTTAAACATCCATTAAGTTTTCCGTGTTTTCTTTGTTTTAAAGTTTGGTGTACATATTTTTTCTAATTTTTTGTATTTATATTGTCTAATTTGTCCACTTTTTCTTTTGTTTTCATTTGTTATTGGGTTGACTCATTCTTAGCGTCAGCCATCTTGGTTTTGTGATTAGCTTTACATATTACTGTTTCGTATTTTTTTGTATAGCGGTTTCCTTTTTCTTTGCATAGCGTTTCGTTGTAGTGTTTATTCTTGACTATTTAATCTGTTTGCACGTCCTTCCGTTTTGTGTTTTCCTTTTTTTTACTGTTTAAATTTATTGATTCGCCTTGTTTTTTGCTCTCGTCTATTGTCTATTTTATTTTTGTACGTTTAAACTTGTCTCACCTTTAGGTGAACTTTGTTCATTTTTTTCCGTCTCTCGTCTTTTGTTTACGTCCGTTTGTTTTGTGCGTTTTCTTTTTGAGTGTTTTTTAAATTTGTTTTTTTCGCCTTTCGGCGAACCTTCTTCGTTTGGCATATATTTCTTGTACGCATTTTTTGACTTACCGTTTCGCTTTCGGGCGAGCTTTGAGTTTTTTTCTCTCCTGTAGGTGAAACTTATTAACTGTTTCTTCTTTTTTTCACCCTCTTCCCTTCCCCTTTTAAAAATCGAAAAGAAGGAAAAAAGGTTTTCCTTCATTTTTAATTATAAAAAAGAAATAAAAAAAATAAGAAAACACCTTTTCAATCCTAAAAAAGACCCTCCGGATAACGACAACTTAGAAGAATACCCAATCCTAGAATCTTCTTCCTCTAGTGAGGAGGGCGGTGGTGGCAAATTAGAAAGTTTGTATGCCAATAATCGCCAGGAAAAGAAAAAAACTCAAAGTATGGAGGTCGACATAGAAACCAAAAATGTCCGGTAGCCAATCATGGCTAAAAATCTGACAAAAATATGGAGGCCAAGAATAGCCAAAAGGACAAGACTAGGAATAGTGCTGAAACCAGGGATTCGCCCTGTTGTTGGAAGTCCCCGCCAAAATGTATTATTGATATCGGGAAGTTCTTGGAACGTGCCAAGAGTTACGCACACCTTGTGGTAGAAGATGGGCTCTTGGAGGATCCAGTTGAACTAAAGAAGATCGATAAAAGAATAGTGTCTGTCTTTGTTGTCGACAAGCGTACGCGCAAAATTTGTCATTCGACGAAAGACACATTGGTAAAATCACTAGAGTCCCTGGGGTTTAAGCTACTGCGAATCGTTAAGGACGTATTGCTGCCCACACAAGAAGATTGCGTAAAAGCAACAAGCCGTAATCTAATCACAAAGGATCTGATACTCCGAACAGTGTATGAAGGCTGGAGGAGGACCAAGTAGCAATATATGAGGTTCCTCCTTTCTTGTGTCACTACGGGGAAATTCTGGGTGCTTCCTGCGATAGCTTGACTGGGGGGTGGGTGGAGTTTTGACATCATGCTGGACCGTAGAGCCTTCATCTCCACCCCCAACTGTCTAGATATTGGGGTTCTGAAGCTGCCGGTCATAGTCACCGGCCGTAAACCAGTTTGTTGGAAGTGTGGAGACGCTGGTCACCTCTCCTCTTCCTGCCCAGAGAAGAAGGCCTCTGGAAGTCAGGCTCCAGTTGACCACGTCTTTGAAATCCGCCTCGCCTGTAATGGGCATGCCAGCTTCCGGTTGAGCCTACATCTAAACCTACCTTCCACGAAGAGCCTTCTTCCGTTGCAATTGTTGAGGAGGGAGAGGGGAAATAGCAGGTTGCTGGCAGGGCCAGAGGGAAGTGTCAGACAGCGGGCCCTCGGTCTCCTGAAGCGCCAGTGACAAAAAAGATACTAACAGTCCCACTCCCTCTGTCAACAGTAAGGGCGACGCTCCGGCCTCAATACCGACCCTGAAAGATCTTCAAAGATAATATGATCCCGGATATGAGAAGACGGAAGAAAATCCCAAAATTAAAAGCTAAATTAGACCAGCAACGAAAAAAAAATCCTCCCCCATAAAGAAAGCACCTCCCTCTACATCACTGCCCCACATTCAGCTCAGTTTCCCCAGCCCTCTACCTGCAGTCAGCCCAAGACCGTCTCCACAAAGAAGGCCACTCCCTCTGACCCATCACATTCTTCCCATCCCTCAACCACTCTTAGTAGAGAAAAGTCTTTGCCTGCCACTCCATACACATCTTTTTCCCATCCTTCAACCCCTCTCAGTAGAGACCCCAGCCCTTTCAGACGAACTTATACCCCTCGTCACACCCCAGTCCTTCTCCCATTAAAACTCTAGAAATGCCCCCTCCCCACAACAAAAGACTTAGAAGCCCGGAAAACGCACAAGCACATCTTCAACCCAGGAGATGTACGCCGAATATCCCCTGCCCAAGCTGAAAAAGCTAGAGATTACGGGAACCGAATTAAAGACTTGAGATATCTTTTATCCATGAAGCATTTCGCAGAAAAAGATATTGAAGAGCCCCCAAATTTTCCCAATGCGGACGGGAGCTAAACAGGCTTGGGCTTGACGAAACCATAGCCTCTTTTAAAATGTCCCCACCAATTTCTATAGTTCAGAATGAAAAAATGAAACAATTTTGTGCTGGGAGGGTCCCTGTTTCTGTTCACCCCTCCCTCTATAGAGCTCTTAAGCTGACATTTCCCTGTGATATAAGCGGAATCTCCTAAGACAGTACCATCAAGACTGAGATGGGCCATGGGTCAATGGGAGAGGCTGTCGGTATCCTTACCCCGACCATGTTCAAACAAGTGTCCCAACCCTAATTCGGTCTGATAATGGCACTCTGGTTAGCAACTTTGAATATCCGGGGCCTGAGGTCGGAGTCCCGAAGGGCTAGACTCGATCGCGATCTTCAGCGCCTCGGAGTGGATGTATGTTGTGTACAAGAGACCTGTTATTTATATCGCGACCATGAGGACATTCTGTTTAAGAGGTTCGTCCTCTATTCAGCATGTTTTGATGGCCGATCGAGGAGGTGTTTCCTGGCTAGTGAGTAAGTCTCTGGATGCGGCGTGTGCTCTTCACGGATCCGGCGGGCAGGCTTTGCGTGTTGGATATTACCATAAAGGATGAGGCTCTTCGTCTCATTGGGGTTTATGCGCCCAATGACTGTGCACAGCAGCCTGTTTTGTTTCGGCAGATCGAGTCGTTTTTGATGACATCTCGTTCGGTAGATTGGAATGCCGTCCTTGATCCCGATATAGACTGTATAGTACAAAAAGCGGATACTAACAATCCGGATGTGAAGCCGTTTCGAGACTTTATCGACGAGATCAAACTCGTCGATAAGTATCGAAATGAGCACCCCCGGGACTAGGGGCGGCAGCTCGGATTCGGTGGTGAGCGCAAGCTACATCGACCGAGTTCTAGTTAAGAGAGTCGACGTAGGGCGCTTAGAAGTTTCCATTTTGTAGTTTATTCGGATCATAGGCTTGTCCGGGTTCGGATAAGCCTAAGGTTAAGATGGCTGGGTACTCGAAATTGAACGCATCATTATTTGGTGAGCAAGATTTCCGGGACCAACTTTTACTAATGCTAGAGCGGGAATTGTCGGGGACTGTAGTTAGGAATAAGTGGTAGGATTCTTTGAAATCTAACCTTATGTCTTTTGCTGCTGATTTTAGGCGACGACTCAATTTAGCAGGGTTAGCAGCGCAAAAGTCTTGTGAGGAAAAATTTGATCGGGCGATCAAATCCCGTGCTAGTGGGGACGTAGCCGTAGCTAAGGCGGAGCTGGCCTCCTTGCTTATCAAGAAGGATCAAGCTCTGGTAGTTAGGGCTAGGCTAAAAAGAATGTCTACGAATATGGTCGCTTCATTGCGTGCAGAGGAAGCTCGTAGGGCGTCTAGTCGGAATATCGCTAGAATCATATTGCCGGGCAAGCAGACTGTGACTACAGACGTGGGCATTTGTGAGGCTTTCCGCGACTACTTTCCGGGGCTGTTTACTAGGGAATCCGGTTTGAGCGCTGATCAGTTTGATGCCTATTTAGCCGACTTTCCCCGCCTCGAGGCAGCTGAAGCGGCTGGGTGCGAGGGTCCCATTACAGAGTCTGAGACCTGGTATGCGTTGAAGCAGGTTGGCTTGGACAAGACTCCGGGATTATATGGTCTTCCTTACGAAATGTACTTGAGGCAGTCGCTCGTCTTTGTCCCCATTTTAGCACTGATTTTCAGCAACTGGATGAAGCAGGGGTCTATACCTCAACGCTTCACCAGAGGTGTGATCAAGTTGCTTCGCAAGAGCAAAGACGGTGGAGATGGGGTAGATAATTATCGGCCTTTGACGAAGATTTTAGCCAAGGTCTTAGCCGGCCGTTTGCAGGCTGTTCTCTCTAGTCAGACTTGTACTGTGAAGGACAAACTTCATTTGGTACGCTTGATCATCGCGCTGATCAATTTAGATCAGTCCAAGGCTTTCGATAGGGTTGACCATCGATTTCTGGTAGCTGTCCTTTCGGCCGCCAGTTTCGGGCCGGACTTTCGCACTTGGATCCAACTTCTGTATGCGTCCCCCAGTGCGCTGGTAGAAGTGAATGGGGTAAGATCAAAACCTTTCATTTTGTATCGCTCCATTCGTCAAGGTTGTCCGCTGTCTCCATTGCTGTACGTTCTTGCGCTGGAACCTTTCCTGTGTAAGTTGAAGACGAATTCGGTCCATCGCCGAATTTCCTTACCTGGTGCTACCACCTCGGCCAGGTACTCCACCTATGCTGATGATGTTTCAGTTCTTGTGTCAAGCAGAGCCGAAATTAACGAAGTCAGCAAAGAAATCAAAGGCTATGAGATGATGACAGCGGCCAAGATCAACCGCGATGTCTGTTGGCTTGCGGTTGGGTTCGTGGAAGGTAGTTTCTCTTCCTGGATCTTTCCACTGGACGGACGGGCCGGTCAAGATACTCGGCGTCTGGTTCGGTCCCGACCTCCTGTTGGAAATGAATTGGTCGGAGGTGCGAGAGAAGGCCGAGGTCGCAGTTCGTTTGTGGACTCGGAGGAATCTTTCCTTGAAGGGACGGGCGGAAGTATGTGCCTCTCACATCTACCCGATTCTCCTTTACCGACTCTCAGTGCTTCCACTCCCATCTGACACTTTATTGGCGTTTGTAAGGCTCTTGTTCTCCTTCTTGTGGGGAGGCAAGGCCGCCATGGTTAGTCGCGAGATCTGTTACCGTCATCCTTCTGATGGCGGTCTGGGGTGCCTTGCGTTGAGACTTGTCGACATACGCTTCGCATTACTTATCTAGACCGGATGTGTATGCAATTGGATGAGAACGGCGAATTCTGGAAGGAAGACGCCCGTAAAAATTTTCCATCCTTGAGAAATGTGCGCTCGTGTGAGGAGGAGGCCGGCCGTGTGTCTCGAGGCGAGGGCTCTTTCTATTGTGAATGTCGGCTTGCTCTCAAGCGACACTTACGGGCGAAGGATGGCCTCTCCGACGTTCAGCCGTTTTTCCGTAAGGCATTATATCAGGTGTTAGTGGGGAACGTTCAGGATGCCTTGATAGGCGAGATCGGTCTGACGAAGCGGGAGGCTCGCTGCATATGGCCTTGAGCGCCCGGACTGAAATGCCTCACTAATACTGGCTGATGATTCGAGGGGCCCTCTGGGTCGTCAAAAGATTTTCTGCGGCGGGTTTGGTAAAGTCGTCAATCTGTATTCGCTGCAATGGGGAAGTAGAGACCCTAGGTCACGCCTTTTTTCAGTGTAGTGTCGTAGCTCCGTTGTGCAAGTTTGTTGAAGACATCATAGTTTGCATGCTGCGCCGAAAGTTTCTTGTCCTCGAGGCCAGTTCTGTCTGTAGCAATATAGTACCGCCGTTGCCTAAGGCTGAGCACTATAGGTTCCTTTGCTTACTGGGGTTTATGCGAGTCGTAATATGGACGACGCGACAGGAGGAATTTCATGGGCGCGAGAAGTTTACCTTTTCCCAATTGATCCTTTTCTTTATGTATCAAGATCAGGACGGAAATGTAACGACTCCATCCATTGGGATTTGGCGAAAGATGGGCGAGTCTTGCGCGTCTCTGTCGAGCGAAAGGTGCTGACTTGGAGTGGCATTTTGATGCCAGTTAGGCATTAAGAATTTTGGGATTGCTGGGTTGAACATTGGCAACCCTTCTCGTGTATAGATTAGTTTAGGTCGGTTTTGTTTTAGTGTTCTTTTTTTTCAAGTTAGCTAGGGCGTGTATGCTCATTGGCCCCTTTTATTTCTGGCCCTATTTTTTTTCGTTTGTTTAATTCCCCATCCCTAGGTGGTTAGTGATATCAGTTCTCTGGTGATTGCGGGACGCCTTTCGTTTCGAGTTTTGTATTTGTTGTGTTTGAATGAGTGTGTGGTTGTAGTGAGTGCATGGCTTGTACGAATGTTTTATATCTTTTAAAGTCCTGCATTGATTTCTTCCAGTTAACTGATGTTTCTGTCACAGTTTGGGCTGTGGAGGGTTTTACTACTAACAAATGTTTTTGTTTAGTTTCTTGTATATAGTTTTGTACACATATGTAAATAATGTGGGTTTTTTAGATTTTTAAATTGTTATTTTTATTCCCCCATCCAACGATGAATTGTAAATATGGGGAATAGTTTAGGACTTCATAGAGTTTCTGAGGCATTATGGTGGTTGAGGTAAGACTGGTGAGTAAGAATGCGTTGTTTTGGTGAAAGGAATATTGTTTGTATGCCTGGGTCAGTGATTGTGACTAGCTAAGTTTAATCTTAGGACAGTTGATGACCGTCCCCCCCATTTCCCCTTGTGTCGCATTTGTACATTTCACGTACAATAAATATAGTGAGATTTTAGGTGCCAAACGAATCCACAACATTTGAAATCATGAACCAGTCTTCACTCAAACCACCATTAATATGCTGAATGTTCCCTACACTCACAAAAAAAAACTTTTGACAACATTACCAGAAACTATCACAACCTTCTTTTTCAGTGAATTTTGGAAATAGTTAAGAGACAAGTCTTGTTTTACTCAATGCATGCTTCTCTTTCACATCCTTGTTTGTACATCTTGTTAAATACAAATTTTATATGTAATGATGTCTTTGGCTTATCCTTTTTTTCTTCGCGTCAGTTTGGTTTCCTAATCTAAGTTAAATTAAGGCCGCCACAAAATGAATCACAACTGTGCTGCCAAAGACTTCTTTTTTAAGCATAGCGACTCGTCTCTTGAAATAAAACACAGAAGTTGTTAAATAGGATGCTTTAAAATTCAAGGTACAGAAGACGGTACCCGGCCATTAGAACAAAAATTAAAGAGATAACATTATCAAAATAGGTTATATAGAGAACATTACATAAAGATTAAAATATTCATTTAAGAATTAATTACAAAATTAAAAGAAAACGTTTGATACCATCGAGTAACAATTATTGTATTTTCAGGGCAATCTAAAAAAAATTACCAAGTTGAAAATATATTTTTGAAAACGTTTGAAAATATTTGTTTTTTTTAAGAAAAGAATCTTCATATGCATTCCAAAAGCAGAGCAAATTGAAGCAATGTTTGATTTGTTTTCTCAAAGAGCATCATATCTATTAAAATGCTATTGTGTTTATTTCATTCTAGCGTGCTTTGATAAAAAAAAAAATAGGCAATAAAAAGTTATTTCTTTTATGAACAAAATACAAATTTTGCCCAAGACTTACTGAAGCCGACTAAAATGTATTGTCATGTAAACAATTAATTTTACATATCAAAATTTGTGGGTAACTCAAGCCTTTATTAGCAAGAGTTCACTTACAGGCTTATCTTTTGGGCAGTACTACCTTATACAGATGAGTGAAAAACTATTTTGAAATTCGAAAAAAAAGTTCCTTTTATAGAATTTCAATGTTACATACTTTCTACGCTGAATATTTATTGTTTTAAAATTCACTTGTAATTTTTCAGTGCGATTTTAAATTTATCCTGTTGCTGTTCGTAACAAGGTTTTTTAAAGACATGTTTAAAGAATCGAAAAATGTCAAGTTTAATGCTATTTTCGAGTGTAAACCTTTTTTGAAAGAATTCTTTCAATACCAACAAAAATATTTCTCCTTATTTTGTTGGTAAGCTTAAAAGACGTGAGTAAAATACAGCCTTGTGTATATAAAAATGACAACTGATCAATCCTACTAGCTTCTTTGACTTCGTTAATCAATTTGAAGGTTATGGACAGTGGCATATTATAGAATAATTACATTTGTAAGTGTCTTTTGTTGTTCAAGTAAAACTTTGTACACAAAATGACTAAAGAAACATTCTGTTATTCGTTGATTTGCAGTTAAGAAAATTATTATACACTCGTGTAGACATTGGTAATGTTTTGGCATTTTGTATCTGCCTCAATATCTGTTACCTTTATGCTAAAATAATTACTTTATATGTAGCATCTTCCTGACTATACTTTAAGTTTTATATTTTTTTCAAAGCAAGTATATTGAAGGTTTTTTTAGCAAACTAATTCAGTTATATTCTTTAGCTATAGGTATAACCAATGGACAATTTTAAACTCAAAGAAGACTCATTCGCTTGTAAAATTAGCAAAATAAAAGTTGCAATAGTTTTAAAGTTACGATACCAATATACAATGGAATTCATTGTGAATATTCAGATTTGATACACAAACTTCAAATAATTTCAGAATTATGATATTATCTCGCTTTGTTTTTATTTATCAGAAGCCGTTCTGTAAGCTGCAATTTGACCCGGTGTTTGTAATTGGCCGTGTCTCTTCTTCTTCCGCCATTGCTCTCTTTCTGTCTTGACTTCGCGCCCAAATCCACACAATGAAAAATATAACTCCGATACCAAACAGCAGGGCGACTGTGATGCCAATGGCTAACGGGGTGTAATTTTCAATGTCCTCTCCTGAACCCTTCCCTTCTATATTTACCACGGAAGATGGTTCGAAGGTAAACTTCGACACATTATCTTGGTTTAGCACTTCTTCAGCTCTAGTTATTGAAGTTATCGATGAACTTTCCATAAAGTTCTGGGAACTAAAGTCAGTTGTCGTTGAGGTGGTCGTATTTCTATTGGAAACTCTTTCTATAAATTTCATCTCTGTTGACGAACTGGTTCGAGTGACCAGAATTTTTGTTAATGTTGCCTGTGTAGTAATTGGTTCAATTTTCTTATCGGTCTTTAATTCATAATTTATTGTTGATGTAATAAATGTAGGTTGTATTGCTAATGTTGTTGGAATGGTTTCTTTTCCTTTTGCGGTAACAGTTTTATTCTCCAAGAATCTGGAAGGAATTGTAGCTTCGGTTAAAATTTTACTGAATGGTAACAAGGGGCGCGTGTTGTTTGGAGTATCTGAAAAGGAAAAAAAGAAATTGCATACATATAAGGTGTTCAGAAAATAAGCAAACTGCCCAATCACAGAATTGTCTCCTTTAATTCAATGTTCAGTAAAAAAAAAAAATAAACTTCTCGTTAGTGTTGTGGTATAGTTCGTTTTTAATATTCATTTTGTTTTCCAATTTAAAACAATTTTAAATATTTAAAATATGAAGGTTAACATGCATACTGGTGGTGAAACTAAATTATCTGATTATTTTTTTTTTTCGATTTACATTTTCTTTCTAAACAAGACTAGCAACGTTATTAATCCAGATAAAAAAGATCTTGTTTTATTGACTGATCAAAAGTTATAAATCGAAAAAAAAAAAAAAAAAAAACTTTGCAAATTATTATTATTCGTTTGGCAGACAGCTTGCTTTCCATCCATTGTTTTTACAGCTCGTTATTAACTCATCATATTTTAGTTTCTTTTGTTCATGGGCTTCTGCAGGTTCTTCCCAAGGCACTGTTAATTCCCACATCATTACTTTATATTGTCTGAGAAGAATACTATATCCGGGCGTAGTGATTGAACGATATGGTCAGGGAATTTTAGTCTTGTTCCCAAGTCGATCCTTAATTCCCAGTGATAGAGTATTTGCTCTGTTCTTTTTCTTCGGTTTCTCACCAGCTTTAAGAAACTCTATAGATCTTTTATCAAGATTTAAAGTATTAGTGCTGATGGCCAAGCTAAGTATCTCTGCTAGATCCTTTAAAATTTGCTCATGCCTCCATCTATACTGGCCCTCTGTTAGTGCTGCTTGGCAGCAAATTAGGATATAGGTTTTAAAGTTCCTAGGCGCGAGCACAATTGGCATAAGGGCGATTCTATTTTATATCATAAAAATGGAGATGAACAAACTGGGAAGGGTGTCATATACGGTCTGAATTAGGAACTTTATACTTGTATCATTACGCCATATATCAGACCATTTTATTTTCCTATAAGTCATGGATCTCCATTCGGTCCACGCTCCTTCTTGGCTTAGTCCCACCATTTTTGCCAACCTTTTCTCTTCACCCTTACGCATTTCTTCTTGTATTAAAAGGTTCTTTTCTTTTAGCCCTGTCCACTCGAATGTTAGGAAAATACCCTAAGCCCGCACGTCCAGTAGCCACGACCCCTGATATAGCCTTTTCGCGAAGTCTTTCTTTAGCTACACGTAATTCCTTTTCTGCTCGCCATTTCCTCCCTGAGTAGACTTCAATGCCTGCTCCAGCCACCATTGAGTCTTTGGCTAACTCGTACTGCATTATTATTCTAATTTTGGCGACTGAATTCTTCTACTAGACTTCTGAAAGGAAGTTGCAGAGCATCAGTATTGCCGCATAGAGCAGTGCCAGACAAACTTTTCGGTAGACCTAACCATCTCCGTAATCATATGCTAATTCTTTTTTTTTCTAATTGTTCTATATGAGAGGTTGTGAATTCATAGACAATGGCCATAAACATTTGGGAAGAATGGCATGCTGATAAATCCATGCTTTAAATGAAGTTACTAACGGTTTCTTTTAATCGAAAACTGCTAAAATGAAGACTGATGGTTAGTAAAAGCTACATGAATAAAATTTGATTAAAAATTTGTACAAAAAAAAAAAAAAAAAAATGAAGACTGACAGTTTATAAAATTTTTTTTTTTTTTTTTTTTTTTTTACAAAATTTGTAAAAAGAGACTCCACTCTACAAACCCAAAATAATGTTCGCAAACAGTCATTGTTTAAACTTTAAGAGCTACTTTTTTGTGATTTTTTTAACCAATGGGGATAGGAACCTACATTCAAAAGGAACCGATTTTAATGCTACAAGTTAGAATCTGGTTGACCAGAAGAGTTTTGGTTTTCCGATAGGAAAGTAGTTGACAGTTTCTGCCAGTCAAAAAAAGCTGCACTTAAGAGTTTAGGCTTTCACAGGTGATAAACACTGGCTCTCTAAGGGCTGAGCAAAAGAAATTGGCTGTTTCTGGAATTTTAACTAAAAGAAAATAAGGGAAGAAATAGAAGATTCTACAATTTAGAGAGATATACAGATATCTTTCTATTGTTATTTGTGAAAGTTTGTCACAAAAATTATCGGTATTAACTGATTTTAAACCTATGCAAATACAAGATTTATCTCATTTTTGAATCTCACTATTGTCTAAAAAGAAAATAAAGCAGAAATCCAGCGACGCCCGTGAAAAATATTTCTGAACTCTTTTCGACAGTTGAATATATGGAAGTAATTTAATATTTTGTTGATAATTGTTTTTATGAGCCTAACAAAATAGTATTTAGAATTATCTTGTCAAGTATTAGGCGCACAAAGGAAAGTGTTGTGTAAGCTTGTTTTGTGAATTGTATATTCTGTATTGTTATTTTATACGTAGTTTAATAAACGTGTTCTTTCAAATTTCAGACCTGGATAAGAGATTTGACGTTCTCTTTTCTCCCCCAAATCTTTTTAATATTTGGAAATAAAATGAAGAAATAATTTCGTTCCATGAACATATGCAGGTTTTGGCCTCAATTAGACATATCCATTGTAAAAATATACGCATGATTCAGAAGAAAGTTGTTGAAGAAGTGAATGTGATAGATTATTTTATTTGTGAAATTCTTAATGAATATCTGTACGAGTAATTTCAAATTGTGTTATTAGTAAACATTCTTTATATTTCCGCAGATTGCCTAGTGTGATAATACTTAAGCAATTTTTCTATTAAAAACCTCATGTCTATTGCTCTCTTTGCAACATTCTAGATCGGCCATTTGTATTTAACGAAAATTTACAGATAATATCCTGTATAGAAACTGATTCCTTTTCTCAATGTAAATTTAAATGTCTTTTAGTGAGCAGATTTTTATATTAATTTTTTACATTCCTGATTTCAGTGCCTCAACTAATTCAATAAAACGGTTCTGCATTCTATTGCTAAACGTTTCTTTTCAGTATCTTTCCATTTTTTTTCGTTTTTCTTTCTATTTCTTCGAATAGTGTTATTTACTTTTTTCAATTTCCAATTCAATATATGCCACACAATTTATACGAAGGTACGCGATTGGCACTTTAACTGTCTCAAAAATCAAGAGTACATTTTAGTAAAATTAGAAAAAAAGGTGCATTGTTTAACATTTTTTAAATTCCAAAAATATATTTCTATATATTATCCAGTCAAAAGAGTAGTTAAGGTCTGTTTGAGCCCCCTTCTATTGTTATATAAACAGAAGGGTCAGCAAATAAGCTTCAGAAGGTAATCATATTTTCAAAGCTAAAGTAGATCAAATTTTCAAACAAAAAATCGGATGTTTCGACCAAGGCAGGACAAAGTGAAACAAAAATTGAACCAGAAGACAAAATGATTAGGACTCAGAAGAGAATGCAATTTTTGGCTGTCACCGTAGAAAACTATCTAAAAAGGAATTGATATGTAAATAGAACTGCGTTCTATAAAAGATAAATAGTAAAATGTTCCTGTGACACCAGCGTTTTGAATCTGTCAAAGCTACCTCGGTTCTGTGAATTTTTTGTCTTACGATTGGGCGGATACACATTTTTGTTTTAAAAAAACCTGCTTCATTCAAATTTCGTATTACCTTCTCAAAGTTTTTTTCCATTTTTCAAAGACTGATTTGAAATCTCTTACGGTCACTTATATTTTTTTGATATATTTGTTTTTTTTAATAAGTCGCACAAAAGGAAATTGTTGTGCAAGCCCATCTTGTAAAATAGCCTTACTTTGATATATTGTTTAAACGTTTTATAATAAATGTTTGTTCTTTTAAATTTCATGTAGTAGTTTCGAGTTTTGTGTTGGTATACGCCTTTGTTAATATTCGGGATAGGAGAGGGGGCATTCTCTCTTCTTCCATTCCCTCCCAGGGAAAATTTAAAAAGTATCCTCAAAAATGTAATAAATTTTAAGAGATTCACCAACTTTAACTCATGTTACAGCCACGAAACCGTTCTTTTGTTGGAAGATGACAGATGAATAAACGGAAAATTATAAAAACTCTCATTTGCTGGCTATTGTGGCATGTGGAACCTACCTTACTTTGCTCGTTTCCGCAACAGCGGAAATAATCAGCTGGAAGTCCCTGAGTTTATAAAAGCCTTGACTATTCGGCTCTCTTTTCATTCAATTTTAGATACCTCTACATTTCTTGTTCCTCTCGCAGGAACCGGCGGAGAAATCTCCCTCAACAAAAACAATTACTACACTTTCTAGAACCTTGTTAACTGGGAAAACTCCTCTCCCCACCCCGCAAGTGACTATTATTTTGCACTCATTTTTCAACTAAATAAAAGCTGCTTGAACATTTACTTTTCAAGCTTTTGTTCATTTCACTCTGCCGAGCACAAACACACACGCGACCGAGGAAAAAAAAATCAACAAAATAGCTTAACATTTTATGTATATTTTGTTTCAAGTGCAGCATAAAAGAATTTAGAATTACATAATATTAGTAGTTACCATCACAAAGACCTGCCCACAGTTGGATGTCGTCAACAGCAATGTCGTTTTGGTGGTTTTGCCCGCGAGTTGCATGAAGAATGATCTACCAATAAAGATATAAAAAAACAAACACTGAAAACAATACTTACTAAGTATGATTTCTATTGGCTAGAAAATTTAAATTGTCATTGGGTCAAGATTTTAAAATTGACGACATTCTTTTCGTATATACCTTCTAATGCTAAAGTTTAATCTCGTATCGATCAAACTGAAAGGCGGGGACGCGAAAGTGTTAAGATACTAGAATTAGGTGATTGTATTAATCAGTGACGGGATATAACCAACAGGTTACTAAATTTGCACAAGTTTGCAGAACCAATTAATAGATGGTCTTAAAATTAAATGTCCTCCTTTTTCAGTTTCAGCATTTTATCGATATAAATTAGTTATTTTTGGAAATTAAGTTGACACTTGTGATGTATTAATAAATATATAGTTAATACTGGTTCTTTAATTTTCTGTGGAGTTAAAGATATATAATGTTAAATTATTGTTATGCTTCAAATATTTTCATATTGACGTTTTCAAAGCAGAAAATAATTTGTAACAACCGCAAGTCAACAGTCGTTTCCGAAGTACAAACATTTCCCATTTTACTCGAGAAACTGATCAGATTTTTCGAAAACGTTCACTGGAATTTCATGTGAAAAATAAAGAGAAAAGACGGTTAATCACGGTAAATTCATGTCACACAAAAGAAAATTCCCATTACGCAGAATATTACTACAACGTGTGCCTAGTAAATGCATTTTCAAGACGAAACAAATATCCTAAAAAACGTAATTTACTTATCTAGAGACATGTTAATAGACAATTTAGAAACAAATATCTGATCAATACTGAAACATTGAGTCTTTCATCACAGCATTCAAGACTTGTAAAGAAAATAACCCTGTTTTAACCTTTTGTCCTATTCAGATGTCTCAAAGTTCCGAGTTCATTCAAAATTCTTCACGTTTGCATGTATACTTATACATTTGCATGTTGTCTGAAAAATGACATGTTAGTATTTTCTTTCAACAAATTTTTTCTCGTTACTTTAACTCGACTTCTAAGTTTAAAGCGAAGAAAGGATAATGACTATTGGTGATAGAGAAATGAAAAGTTCACTATTTAAAAAATAAAAAAATAGAAAACTAAAAAGTTGGCAGACCATTTTGGTTTGCCATCATTGTGCTAGCCCCACATTATTTGGGACTTACACGAATAAGAATACTTTATCTGTATAATAAAGCTATTTAAATCTCAACATAAATACAACTAGTTTTTTTTAGAGCAGCTTTAATATCACTAAATGCAGTCAGTGCATCAGCTGACATTACAATATCACTTTTTTTTTTTTTACATTTGTTAAAAGAATGGTACGAGGTTGGAGGATACTTGCACAATTCGGTATAAAGCGTCGGTGAAAATTTATCATGCCTAAAAATTGTCGTAAACTATTCATGCTTGTGGACACTGGGAATTATTGAATTGCTTCGGTCTTATTAGGAGAAAGGGAAATGCCAACTACACCTATTCGTGGCCCGAAAACGTAATTTCTGTCTTACCAAATTCGCACTTAATTGGCTTAATTACTATCCCATATTTTTCGAATCTTTCAAAAATCATTCTTAAGAGACTCAGGTCTTCTGCTGAAGAACTCACCACCAAGACATCGTCAATATAGGCGCATACAAAATCTAAACCATGTAAAACATGATCAATGAAACCTTTGGAAAGTTTGACCGGCATTACGAAGGCCAAACAGTAGGCGTCAAAATTCAAACAGACAAAACAAGGCTGGTGATCGCAGTTTTAGGAATATCTGCGGGTTCGACAGGTAGTTGATTATATGCTCTGATCAAATCTATTTTGGAAAAAATTGATTTACCCTGGATAATAACGGTAATATCACGGGTATGTGGGACTGGATATAAATCAGGTTTGCGATAGAATTAAGCGCACAATAATCGCCACATCCGCGAAATACGCCGGTTCCCTTTTGAAACTAAAAGCAAAGGTGAAGCCCAATTACTACAAGGCTCTCTCTCTCCATCCGTTTGCTCACATATTAGTGTTTAGCGATTTTAACACCCATCATAGCAAGTGGCTTAAGAATGCTATTACTGACCTTGCAGGCATTCAGATACTTAATTTTTCAGTTTCTCAGTCCCTCACTTCCTCACGCGTTTTGCTTACAACCGGGACGGTAAAGCCTCTCTTCTGGATCTGTGTTTTACCTCCATCCTCGAGTCTTGTAGCGCCTCGCAGCTCTGCCCTCTCGGTAACTCCGATCACGCTGTAGTGTTTGTCAACATCTCCTTCAACTCCACCCCCCTGCTAAGAACCTCCTACCTCTAGAACCCCGTTCTGCTATGAACGAGCTGACTGGGACTCGTTCCGTGATTTCGTCAGCGATATCCCCTGGGATGTTGTCTTTACGCTCCCAGCTCAAGAATGTGCTTTTGAGGTCTCCTCCTGGGTCAAAGCTGAAATTGACGCTTTCATCCCCTCAAGGTCAAATCGCGCTCCTCCCCCTGGTTTTCTGCTGCTTGCTCAGACGCCATTGGCAATAGGAACCACTTCTACCACCTCTATAGTAGCGATATGTCCGCCTGCAATAGACGTCTCTTTGCCGCTGCCCGTAACGAGTGTAAGCGTGTCCTCAACGAAGCTAAGTCGCTATTTGCTGCTCGAATGAAGGAACGTATTGCTTCTCGCAAATTCGGCTCCAAGGATTATTGGCGTCTCTGCAAGAGCGTATTAAACAGTAGCAAACCCTCTATACCTCCTTTGTTCAACCAGTTTGAGGTCCTGACCTCCTCTGCCGACAAGGCTGAATGCTTTGCTCGGAAATTTTCATTCAATTCAACTCTCGACTCTTCCGGTGTACCCATATCCGATTTCCCTCTTAGAACTGAGGCCCTTATTGAGCGAGTTGCATATATTGGTATTGGGCATTATCTCTAATTTAGACCCCCACAAGGCTAGTGGTGGAAATGGGATACCAGCCATTGTCTTGAAGAAATGTGCGCCTGAACTGGCGCCTGCCCTCTCCAAATTATACAACTACTGCCTCAGGGAATCTTGTTTTCCAGACTGCTGGAAGTCCTCATCGATTGTTCCTGTCTTTAAGAACTCCGGCGACCCCTCTAACCATTCTAATTACCGTCCTATCAGTCTCCCCCCCCGCTCTTCGGCAAAGTATTCGAAGCTTTAATCAACGCCGAAGTGGTTAACCACCTTACATCCCATGATCTGCTCTCAGACAAGCAATATGGCTTCCGCTTTGCCCGATCTACAGCTGATGTGCTTACGACCATCATTGAAATTGTCTACCAAGCTCTTCAGAATAACGGAGAAGCTCATGCTGTGGCCCTTGACATCTCCAAAGCGTTTGATAGGGTTTGGCATGCTGGCCTTCTTCGCAAGCTCCAGGGTTATGGTATTACAGGTCGATTGTTTGACTTAATACAATCATTTCTGTCTAACCGTGAATTGAATGTCGTTCTCAACGGATTCTCCTCAAGCTCCTATCCCACGAACGCAGGTGTTCCCCAAAGCTCCATCCTAGGCTCTACTCTGTTCCTTATCTTCATCAACGATCTTCCGGACGCCATTGATTCCCAAGTAGGCATCTACGCGGACGACACTACAATTTACTCCTGCCTCAAAAACAAATCTAGTGTCGCTGACAAAACTAACCTGGCAGTTCATCTCGAAAAGACCTCCAATCGGTTGTGAACTGTGGCAGTAATTGGCTGGCTAACTTTAACGCCTTCAAAACAAAACTGCTCTCTATTAATCACCACAGAGATACTTCCCTGCCCCCCATTAGAATGTCTGACGCTCAACTCCACGAGAGCACCTCTCTGCGGCTGCTCGGTCTCACCTTGTCTACTGACCTGAGATGGAACAAATACATTGAGTCAATTGCTTCGTCCACCGCAAGGAAAGTTGGCTCCCTGTGCCGCGCCAGGAAATTTTTCTCCCCGGAATCGATCCTTCAAATCTACAAATCAACAATTCGCCCTTGCATGGAGTATTGCTGCCATATATGGTCTGGAACCCCTTCTGTTTGCCTCGGGCTTCATGATAAGATCCAGAGACGGATATGCAAGATAAGTGGCCCTGATCTGGCATCTCGTCTGCAGTCGCTCTCTCACAGACGCGCCGTCGCCTCTCTGTCTTTTTTACAATAACTTTCATGGTAATTGCTCCGATGAGCTGCTTTCGCTGGTTCCCAAACTTCGCGAATTCAAGCGTCCTACGAGGCTGGCATCCCGCTCTCACCTTTTCACTGTTGAAACTGTTAAATGTAGCCGCCTCTTCTACTCCAATAGCTTCATGTCTCGCACCTCTCGCCTGTGGAACTCCCTTCCCTATTCCCTGATAGCTATAATCTCCAACTATTCAAATGTAATGTCAGTTGCCTTCATCTATCCACTGTCCTTCTCCTCATCCTTTCCTCGATTATTCCTATCTGTTCTCGCTCCAAATTCTCTATAACCCCTTGCGTGCTAATGGCTTCCCGCCTTGCTAGGGGTGAAATGCTTCAAAAAAAAATAATTACATAGTTTGTATATATATATATATATATATATATATATATATATATATATATATATATATATATATATATATTGATTTTAGTTGTTTCTTTCTCAGGGCCAAATGGAGCACGTTGGAGGGAGTTTCTGCTATGATAATCTTCCAAATAGAAATTTAACTTTGAAAATCAGCTTTCGAAATCTTACCTTTTACCTGGACAATAGCGGGGAAATATGTAACTACCTTAACCACCGAGCAAGCTATAGATATTTACAATGCTTATTTACTGTGTCTATCAGAACCAACTTGGTAGGGTACCCAGTGAGGATCGAATGAACAACACTGATTGGTTGACAATATTAGTTTGTAAGCCATCGCTTTACGGTATTTGTTCATTTTAATCATGGTATACTCAACATGAATGATATTCAATTGGCTTCGCTTACTTTGGCACACAGCTACAAAAGTGAGGCCCCCCCACTGAGGAACGAACTTACGCCAATGGCATGTGGTTTATGAGGCAAACAAATAACATTAAGGCAGACACCCAACTTTCATGAGTAGAAACTTGAAACGCCACAAGAATAACGTTTATTGCTGAAAAAACATGACCGTTTTTTTAATGAAAAAAGATCATAACAAAATACCTGGAAAGTGTCTTGCATTGGTTCAAGTTGAATTCTTTTACGCTTCCAGGAATTTCCATAATCTCCTGTCAACGTCATCAATGGTGCCAAGTTGCTTAATAATTGTTTTTTGGAAATGGCATAGATCTGAAGGGATCCCGTCTCTGAAAAAGAAATGAGAAAATATTTAGACCAATTAAAACGAAATTAAATTCCTATGTCTTAAATAAATCAGACGATCAAGTATCGGGTTCTGTTTCCCGTGGAGCTGGAATTATTAATATCTCATTAAATAACCAATTATTTTGCTTTCAATATGTAGCGAATAATAATAGTCTACAATAACCTTTGCTGAAATTAAAGGAATTTACAGAAATGTGTTGAAAATTTAGAAATGCTTGACAAATACCTTACTATTTGTCAAGCATTTCTAAATTCAACACATTTCTGTAAATTTTGTTTATTTTATTTTACGGTAATTAATTTGATGTCATTTGTTTTGAAAATCGCTTTCGATATATTTCTATAAAATTATTTATTTTTAGGATAGGTAATGAATGTTAAATTTAAGGAAAGACAGTAAAATTGATTTTTAAAAGCAAAACAAATCAACATGCAACATTTACTTTGCTTTATGATAAATTATTTGAAATTTTGCAATAAAATATCCTACTAAGAAGTATCTCTATATTCACTATTAATAAATTGGAATTTATTTCTTTAAGCGGAAAATCTTAAATTTATTTTTTAAAAAGTTAAGCGTCATTTTTCATTGAACAACAATGGAATTCTATAACATTCACTTCCTTTCACAATGTAAATTTTTTTTGCCTTTTGTTAGAGAAGGACACCACATGTGGAACCAAAACTCGAAGCAGACGGCTTGCATTTTGAAGTTGTATAAAGGGGAGAGCAATCTTGCCTGATCGCCGGGTCGACGTGGAGCGGAAGCTTCGATGTAAATATAATGACCTGAAAATAGAAAAACGAAAGGGAAAAACAAAATACTGAATTTGTTCAAAAACTTTTCACGATTCAAGTTTCAAATTTTGATATAGGTAATCTCGTATTATTTTCTAAAATAATTGTCAGACGAAAAGTGACTTTAATTTGGAAGGCAAATTAAATACGCCCTGTTCATGTTATGGATATGTGCATTAGTATTTGACAATATGTTGTATTAATTAATGAAGAAAATAAAACAAACTCGTGTGTCACTTAAGAAAAAAACCTTTATTGTTAGAATTCGTGGGTATGTATGTATACGGGGACGCTGTGACGTCATAGAAAATGGTGTGACATAGGGTGATGTGTGGGTGTGGTGATATGTAGCATCTTCCTTTTTCTTAATCTTTTTTAATCGTATCGTGTATAATGGGGTTGATATATTTTATTATTCTCTATGTCTTATTGGAGAGTTTATTTACAATGTCGAGTAGAGTTTTATGAGTGGAGTATTCATGTGGTTGATGTAAAAATTCTAGGCCTTTTTTCTCTTCTATTTTCAGGGTTATTTACATTAAAACATTCGTTCCACGATAACCCGGTGATAAGGCGATATTGTTCTTCCTTTTGTACAACTTCAAAATAAATGTTTCCTTTTGTGATGTGGTATTTGGTATAATATTTTCGTAATCAATGTGAATGTTTTGTTTGTGAAAGTTCATTTGCTTTGAGAAGTGTCGTCTGTTTCTTACTATTTTATAACCTACTATTAGAAACAAATTGGAATGTAGTTGTTTGCTGTTTTTTGTAATTTTTGTTATGTTTGGGAAATTTGTTCAGATTTCTGTTCATTGTTTAGCAATGGTGGAAGTATGCAAACAAAGAGAAAAATGTAAAAGGAGTAGGACTGATATTAAACCAAAACGTGAAGAAATATATTTTGGGATACTGTTAACTCTTTGAAAGAATTTTTATCGTTAAACTGAAAGGAAAGCCTTTTAACATATACATCATAGTTGTTTATGCACCGACAGCGCAAAGTGCAGAACAAGAAATTGAAAAGTTTTACTGTACGCTAGGCAACGCCAAGGCTTAATGCATATCACAAGAAATTACAATCGTTATGGGAGACCTGAATACCAAAGTAGGCAAGAAGAGAGATAGTGAAATAGTTGTCAAATTCGGACTAGGAACTCGTAATGAACATAGAAAAAAGGGTTCAATGGTGCACGGCAAATGATCAGTTAGGATCCAACACAGTTTCAAGAACTCCCAAGATGTATATAGACATGGAGAAGCCCAGGAGAAGAAACGAAAAACCAAATTGACTATATAACTATCAATAGGAGATTCAGGAATGCAGTTTTACACATAAAAAATACCCAAGTGCCGACTGCGGGAGCGACTACCTTACAGTGATATGTAACTTTAGAGTGAAATTATGAGAATTGAAGAGGGCCGAGGCAGCACCCAAATTGCAATACAGCAGATTCCTGAATGACTCAAATGTAAAGGAGAATTATATGGGCAGAATTAAGAGCAGATACAATGAACAAAAATAGAGAATGGAAACTCGAAAAGGGACGCATTAAGAAAAGCTTTAGTAACATCAGCAATGGAGATCATCCCCCGCCCCCCAAAAATAGGAAAATTCTCGACATGATGAAAAGAGAGAAAATACAATTCCAAGGTAGAACACATAATATAGGACTCTGCACAAATAAATTAGGAACAAATAAAAACAGCCTAAAGAGGAAATACCCAACGAAAATGTGTAGAAATTACAGGAAAAACAAATATCATTAAAAAGTAAGAGAACTAACAGGACAAAAGATATGCCCATCAACAGGAAATATACATAAATGATGGACAGAACGCTGGCACACAATCATAATAAATGAAATATACAACGGGGGTGATATACCGGAAGACCTAAGTAGATCCATTTTCATAGCATTCCCTAAGAAGCCAGGTACAAACGAATGTGAACTTCATCGGAATAATGCGCCAAATAACAAAAGTTATCATCTGAATTCTGATGAATAGAGTGTGCAGAAGAATCAGACCAGAAATAGGACAAGAACAGTGCAGGTTCGTTAATGACATTCTAACAAGGAATGCAATAGTCATGTTCAGAATGATATTAGAAAGAACACTAAAAATGCAGAAGGATGTATACCTATGTTTTATAGATTATGCAATAGTGTTTGATAGAGTACGTCACAAAGAACTTTTGGAACTGCTAGGTAACCCTGACATATTTGAGAGCAAATCGCCTGCATTATACATAGAAAATGTGTTCAGTAAATATACAAAAGATAGACAGCGGCCATAATCTTAAGAACACAAGATATGCAGATAACAGTGTTGATAGCAGACACAGAAAAAAACTACAAGAACTCCCACAGAAAGTAGTGAAGAAAAGCAAGAAGAAAGGACTAAACATCAATTGCAAGAAGACTGAATGCATGGTTGTTAGCAAAAGGAACAGCTCAATATACAAATTAGAGATACAGAAATCAAGAAAGTACAACAATTTAAATATCTGAGAAGTATTTTAACAGGGGACGGAATGTGCGACACTGAAATCGGAAGGCGCATTGGGATAGCTAAGCAAAGTATTAAGAAACAGAAAAAATTTCGTTAGAAACTAAGAAAATAGTACTGAACTGTTATGTTATCCCAGTTCTAAAGTTGATGGAAACAAAAGGGACACTTATACTTAATCTCAGGAAGAAGTAGTTCAAATTTCTTGGGTACCTGAGGAAAGAGGGCTTGATAAAATTGATACTCACAAGAAAGACTGAAGGCAAGAGGGACAAGATAAAACAATACATAACCTACCTGGCGAACTTGATTGAATGGATGGCAGAGTAAGGTTTGGGAGAGATAGCAAAAAGGCAAATTTATTAACAGCCACAAAAGACAGGAAATTATGGAGAACCATGATTGTCAACGTTCTGAAGGGACACGGCACATAGAAGAAAAGAACGTAATGCTAAGTGTGGAGTATTATTTTTTTAAAGAGTTTTCTTTATTGTCTGTATGTTCTTTTCTACTATACAATTAGCGTGGGGTTAATTTGGGTTAGTTTTTATATGCTTGAAAGTGTGTATTGAAAGTTAGAAGACGAGTTTTCTTCGTCGACTCGGATTAGCCAATATCCGTTAGAAGCATAAAGTTTGAGAAATGTTTTGGATTGTGCATTGGCGAGAATATTTCTTATGTTCTGGGAAATTCGATATATTACTTTTTTCTTTTTTAGTCTATTTAAATTTTGGGAATCTAAACTGAGGTGTAATGTTCCATTAGCTAACCGAGTCTTTTGGTTCTTTCATGGGTAATATTGTTCCATTATTCAACATTCTTTGTTGGTTAGGTTTTAATTTTCCTCATAATGCGAAAGCCATGATCTTTAGTGTGTGTATTACAGGATTTATTTCTGGTTCTATAGCTATGCCGTGAATGGACGGCAATGTGCCAATATTACCGAAACAGTCGTCAAATTCTTCTAATAAGCTTTCTATGTCAGGCATATTCATTTTGAAAATTCTTTAAATTAAATTGAATTTTTGCACGTATTTGCGCCGAGAGCAGATTGATTTCTGCTGCAGTAAATTGTTCTAAAGTTTCAACTTCTATGTTTTTCATTCTTGCATTGTATTTCCCTAATATCGGAATTTTTGTATTATTACACCTGCTCAGTCTCACTTATGTTTTATTTAATGATGTTTAGGAGAAAGACTTTTGCATAATTTCTTCATTTCTGCACCGGTGTTGGTTTCAGTCCATACTGGAATGACTGCAAAAACATACCTCTCCTCAAATTTATAGACAAAACATACAGATGCATCCTGGGATTTCTTCTGAGCCAATAGTTTCATCCGATATATTTCTGTTCTTTCTTGTCATGAATTCAGAACGCTGCGATCGCTTGTCTGTACCCCTTTTGTGTGTTAACACCATATTATTAGTTTGTGAACATGTTTCCTAATTACAGTTACTTTGTCTACTTTTGTCTTGCATATATTGTTTGCTTAATATTATTGAGATTTATTGTAAATTAATACAATTATGGCACAAGGCCGAAAAGGGGGAAAGAGTTGAGTCTGGTCTTCACTAAATATCTTATACCTAGCTAATCGGATTCACGACCCATTCACTTGTTACAATTTCCTCATTCACCATAAAAACTCATCTGTCACCAATCAAGCTTCCATACATCATAATATCACATCCTCTCGGGGGTGGGGGATTGGCTAAAAAATATCCCAATGAGATGATAAATTTTATTTACAATATATACATACAAATTGGATGAATGATCATGAAAGAGGAGGGGTGAACCCCAAAACAAACTAAATATCAAAACAAAGTAAAAATAAAGGTAACTGATGTTAGTAAGACCTATGCAATCCTTCGAAAAAGAGAAGCCGCTGTATTCTGCCCTAGGCAAAAATCAAGAGGCTCTCTCGCTAAGGAAGAGGGTAAAGAGAAAATATAGACGGGAATGGGGAATCAATAAAGCAAACCCAATCGAGATGAAAGGAGGCCAAAACAAACCTTGGATCATAACCAAAGATGTAGCCAGGAGCAGGCCAGGAACAACACTTACTCACATTAATTAGGTACACAAAAGTTTATCTAGACTAACAAAGAGAGGGCTCCACAGGAAACCACCCCGATGTGATATAGGTTAACCTAAAAGAGAAAATCAAAGCTAGCCCCGTTCAAGTGAACCAAGCTCGCCTCAGTCACCCACCTTTCGCTGAAGGCTGTCGAATGCAAACGTTTTCTATCAGTTCTAATCTTCATCTTGAGTTGATGCTCAAAGAATCGGATCAGATCCTGATGAGAAAGACAGTCGCCTCGCAAGACTTCCTCGTCGCATCGTCCAAATCACCATTCGGGCTGTGGCCAGCAGCGTTAGAAACACCATTCGTTTCACCCCTGAATACGGGGACGACACATTGTCACACGCGTATGCACGATCAATGAGCACGAGCTTTTCGGGAGCGATACGAGCCGTCAGCTCACCGACATGGTCCCATAAGAGGCGGACCCGAGGACATGGTAGAAGTCGTGCGAAGCCGTTTCTTCCAGGTCAAGATCACATCGTTCACAGTCTGGCAAATACCCCAAGCCCCATATGAAGGCCAGGTAAGCGAAAACTCAGAGTTACTGAGGTAATTCGCCGCTGGCTCCCAAGACCAGAAGGAGCCTCTCACATAGAGGATAATTCGCGGCCCCATCTACTAGATAACGATAGAAGACCCTCCTAGGCTGAGAAAGGTCACTGGCCCGAGGAATGACCTTCAAGGTGTATCGACACACGCGAAGGAAACTCGATAGAACCCGCTGCTTACGACGGCGCCCGCCATAATCGAATCTCCTGTCAACGCGCGGCGTAAGAAAGCCAACCTCGAGGCGAGCTTGTGACTCGCCAAGTGTGGCATTACCAGCCCCCAATGACACGGACGTTGTGCACAGACTCCTCTGTCGACCTGATGCTTGCGTCCCCTCCACAAAATGGAGGATAGCGAGCGCTCGAGTGGCTTCTTATGATCTTGACAGAGAGCAAGTACGGCCAAGCGATAAAGGACAAGAGGAAAGACGTAAGTGGCACACGCCTCCGCCCTGCCCTTCACGGACAACCTCCTTCGGCGCCAAGTCTCACCGGCCGCGTCGACTTTTGCCCTCTACTTCTGACCAGTTTTTCTCCAGCTGGATGTCGGGTCCAAACCACACTCCAAGAATGCGGGCAAGATTGTCCGTCCAACCAAAGTGCCTCGGAAGATCGACCCCTTACAGGCACCTCCCGCAAGCTGGAAGACTTGTAGCGTTTAATCCTGGTCCCTGTCACCTTTTCGTACTGATCAAGCACCTTCAGTACCACCTCAATATCGCTGCGGCACGACACGAAAGTAGATACGTCATCGGCGAACGCGGAAACCCTGGCTCGAGCCCCTCCAGGGACAGCGATTCCACGTAGTGCCGGACTGTACGCCCTGTCTCTTAGCCGGCGAAGGAGAGGCTCCAACGCCAAAGCGTAAAGTAGGGGCGACAGTGGACAACCCTGACGAACTGACAGAGACAGCGCAAAAGCGCTCGACAGCTTCCCGTTCACCTGTACCACAGCACTGGGGAGCGATACAGGAGTCTAATCCAGCGGCAGAAGTCGGGTTCAAATCCGGCGGCCTTCAGGACAGCAGCAAGGTAGCGATGATCAACCCAATTCATAGGGCAAACCATCCAGACCGGGCGACTTGCCGCTGCCGACCTTCTTCAATGCTGCGTAGACTTCGCCCCCCGTGATGTCTCTCTCTCTCTCGCAGCTAGCCGCTTCAGTTGGCGAAAGTCGAGGAAAGTCAGCCAAATAGCTACAAATTGCTTAATATTATTTTGACCTGTTCTTTTCCTTCTCTTGTTATTGTTTATTGCAAACTTTGACAATTCTATTTGTTGAGAATTTCTACCAATTACTCTACGACCGGAGTTGATTTTGGATTTTATCATCGCGTTATTCACATTTAATTTTGCAATTCAGTGGTCTGGATCTGCTTTTCTCCTGTCTGGACTCAATGAGAGATGTTTATATTAAGATTAATTATGTTCATAAAGTATTCCCCGTGGAAGACATCGTCTTCTGAGGCTTGTGTTTTATGAACAAATTTCTTGGATTTACACAATTTTGCAAAGTGACCATTTTGAAAATTATATTTGCTGCATATTTTGTGAAATGCAGGAGAGTTATTTCTATTATGATTGCTGCTGCAGTATTTACATGATTCTATGAAGTTTTGAGCTTTGCCGGGTTATTTGCTACTATCGTAGCGTTTAAACTTGTTGGCGACAAATTTTGTTTGATGGCTAATATGCATATTCTAGACTTCAGCATCTTGATTGTCAGAAGATTCAACTAGTATGCACATTCACTCATTACATATACACTAGGTTTTCGCATTCATTTGACATACACATCTTTGTCACTTGTAACCTTTTATTGTTAATACATTATCATTTGTTGTACATATATATTGGTTCTTATCGTTTCTTCACGCGGACTCACATCCCCAGCCAGCCATGTTTATTGTGGGTATTTCAGAAGACACACGTATTTATCACTCAACACATACACCGGCCCGCAACACATGTAATCGAATGTAAATATAGAAAAGGATGTATCTGCCTTTGGGGCCAATGCATGTCAGTAAGATGCAAGTGGTTTATAATCCTTCTCAGTTGTGAGTAAGAACAGGTTGAATTCGTTTGTCTCCTACGCAGCGGGCAGATATTTTTTATTAAAGCTTAGCGGCTTCGGTGATAGTAACAATTCAATTCCGTCGATTTTTTTTTCATGTTTTCTTTTAAGTAATTAGTAAGGCTTTCTTGACTCAAAGTCTTTTGATATAGAAATAACCTCTGACATGATAGATATGTGGGTTAGTATTTAACAATGAATTGTATTAGACAATGAACAAGACTGGACAAACAAGTGATGTCATAGAAAGTGGTATGATATGGGGTAATGTGTGTGTGTGTGTGTGTGTGTGTGTGTGTATGGCAGTATGTAACATCAGTTTTATACCAAAATCTCTCATTCAGAAATGCAGAATATCAGATCGTCAGAAAGATCTTCTCACGCATTGATGACCCTATTAAATTCTAAAATACAAGCATTTTAGTTTCTTTTTGGCTTACCTTCACTTGCGTTTCCATATGTATGGTCATTCAATGGTCCAGTGTATCTGGTTGGTGTCTCTTCCGAATGTATTTCCCAGTCAAAATCATCACCATTATCCTGTGTCCAACCACAAAATCCATCTTCATAATTGCATGATGTTTTTACTGAATGTTCTGTTTAGACAAAAACAACAGTGAAATGGGCAATAATAAGTACGAAATTCGAAAAGATGACCATGTTCAGTATTTATGAAAGACGAAAAGTAGTTATTTAATTGTTACTTACTAATAAATTACTTATGAACTTACTAATAAACACTTCATAAAAACATTATTGAAATGAAATGCTATAACGTATTTTTGTTTTGCATAAAACTTTCTCGTGGTATTACTGTCGCTTGGTAATAGTATGTGCATGTGCATAAATATGTGGTTTACAATAAATCATTTTTAATGTTTAGATACTATCTAATTTTGTCTTAGCTCTTTTTTCGTATGGCACAAATCATATTTCTTTACTATCCTCCACATTGTTTAACGACAGTAAATCATTTAAATCTAGTTTCCATGTATTATCATTTTATTCATATAAGAAAAACATCTATTCTGTGTACTACTTCTCGTAGTAGTAGTAGTAGTAATGTTAATAATAACGTTATACACACTTTCTTGGCTTATTTTTTAACTATTTAAAAGTTCATATTTATGCACATTACAAAATTGTTATGATGCTAAAAATTACAAACAGAAATAATCTCTGAGTGAGACTTGAACCTGCGAGTCGAATTAATGGTCATCTGCAGCATTTGATTTACTCTAACTCTCTGAGCATTAGATTCAAGCAGTGAGGTTCAATACACTTTAATTGATGTTCATTAATTTCTCATTTATTGCATACACATTATATTCTATAAAAATTCAATACAATATTTTGTTCATTTCAGTAGTCCGCCATGTTTGAATATTAAGAGTCAATTTATTTATCAACCTTACTTTTTACACACTGGAGGAGGTTTGTTCCATTCTCTTTTTGTTGCAATAAACTCGATTGTCTTCATCTTCCATTACGTAATTGGCTTTACATTGAAAAGTAGCCAAAGATCCACGGTAAGTATAAGTCACATCGAGGACATTGTCATCATATTCCAAGAGTGGACAACCCGGGGCTGAAATTAAAGTATAAAATAATTATTTGCAAATTTCAGATAACAATGTTTATGTTATTTATAATTTATATTAATTAAAATACCAGATTAATATTTCGGAATAGATTTTACAACGTTTTTCAATAAAGTAACTAAATCTATATAAATAAATGCGAATGTCAGTGTATCAGTGTGTTACACTTTTTCAACTTTACTTCTAGAGGCCGTAGCCCAACATATCATGCAATTTTGGAATCAGGCCGACTCTGAGTAAATTAAAAACATTCCACTCTGCATCCGGACCCGCAATCCTGAAATTTTGAATTCCTAAGTTTTTATTACTGCGATAGTTTTCGGCGATTTTTACGTGATTTTTTGGAACGAACTTTTTTGTACGATAACAATTTTTATAACTTGGAAATTGATGTGGGGCCAAAGTTGGGACCACAGAAGTAAAACACGGAACACGGATTAGATGTAAGAAAGATATATTAACAGGTTACAGAAATAGTGTAAGCGGAGCTTACTATGTCACTCAGTGTGATTCTCAGTGTAACTCTGTAGAGTGCCATGTCGCCTACTTAATATAGGCCTGGAAGAGTCTATTGTGTAGGTAGTTTCCGGTCTCACAATACCACCCCCACCTCCAAAGAGTTTTCTTTTTGAAAAGGAGAGAAAAAATAAAACTGTTAATACTTTTTTCCTCTTGGGATTTACGTCGAGCGTTTGAGTAAATTTCCTTTTCCTTCCTGAGTCACGTGGTAGAGATAAACACTCAGTTGTGGAGCAAGCTAAGTGAATAATAATCCAACCTTTAGAAAGAGAGCTATTTATGTTGCCATGGAGCATCTCATTGTGCTAAAGTGGGATAGTCCATTGCTTGGGCTGTGATTGGCTGCTGGTACCTGATTGGAGGTATTTCTATATAAATACCAGCTTGATTCATCATTTAGTTTGCAAGGTTTTATTTTGTTTAAAAACGTTGAATTTTTTTTTTTCAAGCTTTTTTTCCCCATCAGTTTTCGTTTAAAGTTTTGTGTAAACTGCTTTTGATTTGTTTTTTTGATTTTATTTTCCTTTTTTTTCTTTTGTTTTTTTTTTGATTTGTGTTTTTTTTTTTTTCTTTTGATTTTTTTCCTCTCCTGTTTTAGTTTTTTATTCCTTTTAATTTGTTATTTTTTGTTTATTTTAAGTTTGACTTTTATTTTGTTTGTTTATTAATACCTTTAAAAACGAACGTTTTTCCTTTTTTTTTATTTTTTATGGGTAGCAAACCCCATGGCGGAAAAAACATAAAGATTGTCACCGTCTCAGACGGTGCAAACGGTGGCCGACGCCACCAACGGAAAATGTGCCACCGGCAGAAAAAAGCGTCACCGGCAAAAAGCATCGGCCTGGATAGAAAACAGGCCGCAAAAGAAGGATGCAGCCTACTACAGCCTTTTAAAAGAAAAATACGAAAAGACGTTTGGGGACTGAGCTCTTAACCATCCCGGAGGCGTTAGAGGCGGTTAAAACAAGAATAGTTTCCCTGCTGACGTCCGACGTGAAGAGTCGGAAATTCACTGGTGTCAGCAGGGAAACGATGGAAGAGACACTGAAAAAACACTCAACATCGCTCCAAGGATCTTGGCTAGGAGGACAAATGCCATGTGGGATATCCTCTTAGCCACAGAACAAGAGGCAAAACAGTTAGCGGGCAAAACAATGGCGACCAATAACGTCAGACTTCAGACGGAATACATGGGCACCCGAAGTACCAAAATTACGGTGCATGGGGTGCCCGTGGATATTTCAGCAGACAGGCTGGGTGCGTTCTTCGCCCAATTTGGACCAGTCGAGGAGGTCTCCGTCCTTACCAGCAAGGCAGGCATTGCTACGGGCGACATGGACGTTGCATATAACGTTAAATAGGGAGGCATTCAAAGACATACCCAATATTCTTTTTTGTCGGAATAGACGGATGCTGGTGGTTGTGGAGGGTCGAAAGCCACACTGTTGGAACTGTGGGGTATTTGGGCATATGTCCAAAGACTGCCCAGGTAAAAAGCTCCGCAACCTCCACCAGCCCAACAACAACTTCAGCAGTTCACCACCTGCAACAACAAATAAAGACAAGCCAAAGCAGCGGTCTCAACATCTCAACAACACCAGCAGCAACATCAAAAGTGAGAAAGCTTCAAAGGGGAGGGACAACAGTGAAGGGCAGAAAGAATACGCCCTCCTCACCTAAACAAATGGCTCCAGAACAACAGGACCAAAGGAGCCGAAAAAAAACCAAGCCCCCAGAAGCAACACAAACAGCCTGTAAAACAGGCAAAAACAAAAGAGGGGACGAGCAACCCCCCAGAAACAGGCTAAGCAGCCGAAAAAAAGCAGCTGGGGTCTCAAAAAGAAACACAACCCAAAAAGAAGCAACAGAAGCAGCGACAGCAAGAACAATCGACTGCAAGAGGAGAAGATGGAGGTGGAAGTAATGCCTCCACCCCGTACATCAACCTTGAAGAGAGGCAGAGAGGAAGAGGAGGAGAAGAAAACCAAGGAAGTGGTCAGAACAACAGGAAGGAGTAGGAGTCCAGCTATTTCCAGGTCGCAGTCATTCTGTACCCTCCCTAGAGAAAAAGTTAAAAGCCCCAAAGCCAGGAGCATCTCTTCCTCCCTTCGATTGACGCATCCCCTCTCCATCATCCCCCCCCTTGTGACACCACCACCCCCTCAGGCGTCTGACCCCTCCCCACCCCACCCGTCAAGGAAAAAAGAAAAAAAAGAAGAAAAACTATTTCTCGAACCCGAAGAAATCTGTACAATGAGGGTGAATTAGAGAAAGATTTACCCAAACAAAAAAGGCCCTACTAAGCATGTTGTTCAAAAAGAACATGGTTGATGGCAAGACAGTAGAAGATCCCCGTAACTTCCCAAAGGCCCCAGGAGTTATTACTTGTATAAGGGAGACAGGGAGTTACCTCAAAGTATGGAGCCATGTGTTTGAGGCAAAAGAGGCCTTTCCAAAAATTAGAATGCTGGAGACGGACTTACATGTTGTTAAAAAAAATTCAGGCAGTTCTGTTCCGGGGGGTCCCTGTCATACTCCATCCCTCTTTATACAGAGCAATTAAACTAATATACCCCATGGATGTCGGCGGAATTGCCCTGGATGGGCGGATGACGTCAGAGCTTGGGTACTGGTAGTCTGGGGCATTCCGTCGGGATCCTGACTGACGCAGATTTCCGCCCGGTATGTGAATAGGTTAATTCTGTCTTTTATATTTTACAGGGCCTAGAAGATGGAAACCAAGTTAGCGACGTTAAATGTGAAGGGCTTAAGGGATCGGGGTAAGGCTGCCCGCCTGCTCCGGGACCTTCTGTCCCTGGATGTGGATGTTGCCGCGATCGAAGAGACACACTTTGTTTGCAGTGCCGATGCGTGTGTGCTGGAGAACGACTTTGTCGTCTATTCAGCATATGGGGACCGGTTTGCCAGAGGGGTTTCTTTGCTTGTCAGACGGACTCTTGATGCGAAGGTGGACCTTGTGCATACCGATGCCGAGGGCCGGTTGATCGTGGCCGATATTGCCGTGAAAAGTGGTTCGTTCCGAGTCGTTGCGGTTTATGCGCCCAATGACCAGGAGGAGCGGGTCTCGTTTTTTCGCAGTTGGGGCCGTTCCTGGTTGATTCAACGCGCCTTGTTTTAATGGGGGACTGGAATGCCATCCTGGACTCCAAGTTAGACAGGGGTGGGGGAGCTAGTGGGAGAAGGGGCGATCGTAGCCTGGTTGATCTGATCGACGATTATGGTCTCGTCGATAGATACCGGGTCGATCATCCCGGGGAAAATGTGGACGTGGGCTCTTAATTGGCCTTCTGACAAGGTGGTTAGCTACCTTGACAGGATGTTAGTTAGAAGAGCCGACATAGATCTATTAGATTGCCCTACGTTCCACTGGGTAGGCTACACGGACCACAAACTCGTTTGTGCCCGGGTGGCGTTAGACCATAGGCCTAGAATGGCTGGCTACTGGAAGTTCAATCTGTCTTTACTGGACAGGCAGGACTTCCGGGAGCAGCTAACTAGATTAGTGCAGCGGGAGCTAGTGGGGGCGGTTATCGGGAATAGGTGGTGGGAAAACCTTAAAAGTAGGATTAGGTCTTTCACCACTGATTTCAGCAAACGGCTCGCTCTAGATAGAGCTGAAAAGGTGAAGACACTTAAAGCTAGTTACACCCGGGCGGTGGCTGGGGGGGATCCCCTAGAGATAGCCTTAGCTAGGGCGGCCCTGGATCGTTTGAATAGCGAGCGGTACATGGGCCAGGTAATTAGACATAAGTTAAGCAAGATGTCTTCCGAAGCCGTGAACTTGGGCGCAGATCTGCGCAGGGAAGAGGTCCGTCGAGGTGGCGATCGTTACATTCGTGAAGTCGAGTCCCCGGAGGGGCATACTCTTCGGGCCACTGACGACATGTGCGAGGCGTTTCGGCGCCATTTCGAGAGCCGGTTTACCAAGGAGCCTGGTCTCCGTGAGGAGGAGTTTCGTAGCTATTTGGCTGACTTTCCTCGGCTTTCGCCGACTGAAGCGGCTAGCTGCGAGGGAGAGATCACGGAGGGCGAAGTCTACGCGGTATTGAAGAAGGTCGGCAGAGGCAAGTCGCCCGGTCTGGATGGTTTGCCCTATGAATTGTACTTGAGGCTGTCGCACATCTTTGTTCCGATTTTGACAGCAGTGTTCAACAACTGGTTTCGGTCGGGGTCCATCCCCAATCGGATCACCAGGGGTGTGATCACTCTGTTGAAAAAGGGCAAAGGTGGTGGGGGAAGCTAGATGATTACAGGCCCATAACTCTGCTAAACACAGAGTTAAAGATTATGGCCAAGATCCTGCAGGAGCGTTTGCAGTCAGTTGCCGAGTCTCTGTTGGGACCTGAGCAGACTTGTTCTGTGAGGGGCCGAACAATTCAGAGCAACCTGCATCTGATCCGCACGATCATAGAGGGCGTAAAAAGACGACGAAGAAGCCGCGCTGATC